TCCTTGCCTCCCCGCCCTCAGCACCACTATCAACATCACTTCAATCATCGACACCAGAGACGCAACCCTACTTGGGGCCTTGGCTCCGGATATCATGCTATCGACAAAGCTCGCTATGTTCATGCGAACTATCGTTTCGTCGTCCGCCCGGACCGAGAATACCACGTTCAGACGGTCGATGCAGATGTCTACGTCAGTTGGGATGCGGTTTTACAAGTGCTGGCTTCGGCCGAGACTCAAGAGGCTAGCTGTCCAATCTGCCTGTCCACCCCAGTGGCTCCACGCATGGCCAAGTGCGGCCACATCTTCTGTCTTCCCTGCCTCATCCGCTACATGCATTCTACAGATGAATCCAACCCCGTTCCCGAGAAGCGACCCAGGTGGAAAAAGTGCCCAATTTGCGAGGATAGCATATACATATCGGATGCCAGACCGGTCAGATGGATTCAGGGTAACGATGTCAGTATGCTAAGACAAGGTGGTGACATCCTACTTAGGCTGCTCAAGCGCGATCCTGGTACAACATTGGCCTTGCCCAGAGACACCGCTGAGAGCAGTGGTCGCTCTGATGACATCCCCTGGTTTCATGTGGCTGGAATGATGGAGTATGCTCGGTTCATGAAAGGTGGCGAAGAATACATGATTGCTCAGTATGACCAGGAGATTGCCGACCTCGATGCTCAGGAAAAGGAGGACGAACTGATGTTTGGCGACGATAACACTTGGACCCGGAAAGCCGTGTTGGCCATCGAAGATGCCAAACAGAAGTTGTCCGGCCTGGGCAATCCTCCGATGGCAGCGCCAAACTCATCTACAAAGCAACCAGAGATCCCAGAGTCCTGGGATTCAGCCGACCAGGAGGGGTCTTCCGACTTGACTTCGGCTGTTAAGTTAATGACTCTCGGTCGTCAAGGCACCGCTACGGCGAAACCTGCATCGCCCCCCTCGAGGCATGCTCACGGACCTCATCGACCGTCGTCTCACCCTTTTTATTTCTATCATGCATTACCAAACTTCTTCCTCTCACCCTTAGACATTCGGATTCTCAAGGCTGCTTTCGGGGACTTTTGCGCATTTCCTTCGACCATCCTCCCACGGGTAGAACACATATCCACAGGGCATATCATAGATGATGACCTGCGCAAACGGGCCAAGTACATGGCTCATTTGCCATATGGCTGCGAAGTGACATTCTTAGAATGTGACTGGACAGACGTCATTAGCCCGGTCGTTCTAGAGCAATTTCAGGATGACATTACCAAACGACGAAAGAGAAACCTGGAAAAAGAAGCGAGAGAAGAGAGAGATAGAATCCGAGCCGAAAAGGAAGAGGACGACAAAAGATGGGCGGCCGCCCGCCGGCCTCGGAGGCCGAGCTCTGTGCCAAAGAGTTTTACTGAATCGGATTTTCAACCATTAGTGGACCCGGCGACTCATGCAAGCTCTTCACCAGGCGAGCATGGTCTAGCAACGACACCGCCGTGGGGTAACGCCAGGGCTCAGTCTGCATTTGCGACGCTGGCCACACCGGGCACTAGTCCTGACGCCCCTCGAACAGTCTGGGGGACGGCGGTAGTGGCACCAATGTCCCCACCGTTGATCGCGGCGCCTGAACCGGTGACCCCACAAGTTGACGACGGCTGGCTGCAGGGTTGGGAGCAAGATTTGCTCGATGAGAGTGACGCGGTGGCTATGGTTGAGGCTACCTTGAATAATGGGAGCTCGCGCCCAAGTGGCGGAGGCCCTTCATCAAAGAAAGGAAAGAAGAAAAAGATTACGCTGATGTCGACGGGCAATCGACGTGGTGCTTAGCAGCACCTTGGGACCCTCCAAAGCCCCCTTGGGATCTGGGATAAACCGTTCAATGTGTTCAGACTTGAGATGTGTTAATGAATTGAATGATATCCAAGAGACGGGGACGCCAGGCACCCAATGTGATTGAAGATAGCCGCCGCGACCAACCTTGACTTTAGCCATAGTAGGCCATTTAGACTTTTGAGTCTATAACGGGCACCAAAGACTCAATGGATTCGCGATCAAGAAACAAAGGTTCCGCTTCTCCCATCACATTTGGTGAGGTAGACAAGGCAGTTGAACATGGCCCTGTGGAGAAGAATCCGTTATTAATTCATCAAAAAGTCTCTTTTCAAGTCATCTATTCAATCAGGAGGGGGGAAGTCCAGTTTGCTTGTGCCATAGAGCAATTCCGGTTTGTCGAAAAAGACAGAGGTTCTATCCTAAGCATCGGTTACATTTTATCCTTTTTATCATCGTCACAGTCTCGTTCTTGCTCTCTTTGACCCCATAGGCCAGTAGGGCTCCCAGCAAGGTTTCCCGTGTCTCGCGAGATTCGTGCGTCGTCGCCATCCCGTCGGTCTGAATTGGGGTTTTGGTGTTTCTTTTGGCAAACAATTCTATGGAATCTAGACATCAATAGCGTCCACGACAACGCCCTTGACCCATTCGTAGCCCATGACCCGGGCCACCTCCTGCGCGGTCTCGTGGCTCACGAGGGCACTGACGAGGTACAGGCTCGCATCGATGCCGCTAATGGTGCCGCCGCTGGTGATGACACGCATGCCGCCCAGCTTCATGCTCTGCCTGCGCACCAGATTCTCGTGCTTCAAGTTACTCTCGCGCCTGGCCAGGGAACCCTTGCGCGCAGTGCTGCCCTTGCGGTTCTTCTTGAACACGTAGGGGTTTTCGTCGAGGTTCTCGCCCAGGTCGAAGCGGGCGTTGTTGACCACGTAGCGCTCCTCCATGACGTCAGTGCGTTCGCCCATTTCGCGCGCCGCGGCGTCCTGGCACTCCTTCTCAAGCTTGATGTAGAAGTCCGGGTGTGTGGTCGCCGCCAGGCCCTGCAAGAGGCCCTGGCTCGCCAGGAACAGCGCTGCCGTGTCCACAGCCAGCACGGTGCGCTCTCTCCCCGGGTCGGCGGTCTGGGCGTCGGCGAAGGCCTTGATGATCTGCGTGGGCTCCGCTTGGGCCTTGAGTACCTGCATGCAGTTGTCCTTGCCGCCGGGAACGACGAGGACATCGAATTCCTTGAGGCGTTTGTGCGCTTCTTTAAAGGAGATGTGTGCGGTCAATGTGACGCCCTGGGCGGTCAGGACGTTTTCCTGGGCCGCGGCGAAGGTGACGTCGAAGGCTTTGCTTTCTGGCAGTGCTCGCGTGTCAGGCTGCTCGGTGTCGTGTGATGCGGGGCTTTGGGGGGAAAAGGGAAAAGCATTTTACCTGGGTCGTTGGCGTTGTATTGAGCATGGGTGAGAACTTCAAGCGGGCCGGCAAAGTCAAGAAGGTCCATGTTGTCGTGCATGGTGATGAGGACCTGGATGGGCTCGTTGGTCTCGGTGTCTTGAATCGCACTCATCTTGCCGGCTCTGGATGGGTGTATGTAGGAAGGAGGAAGGGGAGAGGGAGAGAGTGTCCAAAGCAAATGAAGGACGGTAGGTTGTTTGTTTGGAGTGGCTGGGGAATTCGCTGGGCTTTGTCGAGGGTTGGTGGTTGACGGCTGTGCTACAGTGATGGATTGAGTAAGGGAAGGGAGGAGGTCGGATCGGTGTGAGGTGTCAGGTGTCAGGTGGCCTGCTGGAGAAAGTGCCTGGGTGGTCTGTTGGTTCGTTTCTGCGGAGACCCCACGAAATTCAGACTTCATTCTGTGCAGTGCAGTCGGTGGCTGAAAACGTGGGGTACAAGTCCCGTCGCCAGTGTAGCCACTGCACCCAGTGGAATGAGGGGCGCCATGCCACAAGGCCGCCAGGACGGTGCCATGCCAAGGCCCAGAAGGACGAGGTTAACCGTTGGAGATTTCTGAGCAGACGCAGTCTGCCTCTAACCTCTTTCCCTCTCTCTGCATCTCCTGTGGCCTCAATGGCACTACGAGTTTGCGAAGACCGCATCTTTTGCACCTCTCACTTGTGCACATGACCCATGGTATTTTAACAATCCCTGCATGTGCTCCTCCGAAGTGCTGGGTAAGCAGTCAGGTCTTTGTGTTTCTGGTGTGCTGTTTCTGGGACGTTCTCTGTCCTCGTATTCCTGTCTTCTCTTTTTCTGCCTTTCCAAATACAAAGCCGGGAGTTCTCGCATCTGGATCTGCAACGTGCTTCCCGCACTGAGTTTGGCCTAAATTGTGCAGCTGCACCTTGAATGCAAACTGCAAATACGTGGACATCTGTGACCAATCGACCTTGCGGCACTCGTATTGTGCGCTCCAAAAAAGTCCGAGAAGGAGTTTGCTGATGCCCTGGCGAGAGGCAGAGAGAAATGGAACATGGTGGAAAAGCTTTGTCACGGTGGGTTCAACAACGCATCTGAGGCTCACGAGCAGGCCAACGAAGGATTCGTGGACAAGCCACCTGCAGAAACTGCGACGGAAGGTGACGGCTCTTGGGGAACCGGCCTATCTCGTCACTGCACATGACCTAGATCCCAGCATGCGAAGCTCGGGCAGGAGGTGATCCCACCATACCACGAACCTCCCCACGAACCTGGGGAAGAGTCGGCGTAGGAGCTAGCAAGGGGATGGCATCTGGGCGAACTGAACAGCCTGATGTTGTGTACTCCATGCAACTCATGCGCCCGACGAAGCCCTACTGACAGCTCGACTAGCGGCCTCCTCTACTTTGCGTCATGGGCACCCATCCCATGTCCGGAGCGGCTCTCAGCAGGAACTGGTTGGAACGAAGGCCCGTCCAAATATTCAAACCCCTGTCCGCGATGGCCAAGCGAGTTCTCACAGGAAGAGATACAGACGTGCAGAGTGTGTATTTAAAGACACTGATGGTCCGGCTGTTCCTGTTCTGACCATGTGCATCGCGGCACATTGACATATCAATTGTGCTGCGATGTGGACTGCAAACACAAGTTAGCTCGAAACTTTGTCCCAAGCCAGCTCCCAGTCCCACACTAGCTGACTATCCTTCAATCTCTCAAAACCGTGATCTTATTGAGTATAACAACCGCTCTCCCAACGTCAGGGCCCAAAACAGTCGAGCAAAATGGTTTTCGGGTTGGAAAGACGACGTGGCCACAAGGAAGCTAAAATACAGGTCCGGATCACCCAAATTGAGCTTGACAAGCGGATCCTTCTCGATAACGATGAGAAACAAATCCGGTGTTTGCAGCAACAGATCGAAGGCCAGCAAAACACCATTGCTGAACTCCGAAACAGATCAAGGGATGGTTCTCAGTCTCTGGAGAGGTTACAACAAGCTTTAGACCGTACGAAGCGGAACGCAGCGATGACATCCGACAAGGTGAGACTTGAAGAGGAGAATAACAGGCTTGACCGCCAGAACAGCGCATTAGCGGTCGAGAGGGAAGTCATGCACAACTGGTATGTCCATGTGCTATATACAATTGAGAATCTATACGTGACGCCTAACGCCTTGGGCTGCTTAGGAGAAATAGGCTCAATGGTCTGATCTTGTCAATGTGGGGTTTGACCTATGAGTATGTCTACCGCGCAACCCTCAAGGCCGACTGCCCATACAAGGTAATACATATATACCCACCCTTCACGGTTTTGTCGGACGAAATTCTGAAAGGATTTTCAGGACATAAATCAAGCCGATCCAGTGGGGAACCGGGTATTCGCTGGAATCAAGCGCGGGTTGCATCGCTTTCTGGGGGACGACGCCAGAATCACAGCTGAGCAGAGTGCGGAGGTTCTGAGCAGGAATTTCGATGCGGACGTAGCTGAGTACCTGGGGAACAAGGACAAAGAAGATCTCCAGAAAGATCTCACGAAGATCTTCAACGAAGGCCGCGAGATCTGGGGACAAGTTTGGAGTGACAACTGAAGCGACTACTTGGGAGGGAGGATTACTGCCTTCATTGCCTGGCCTGGAGGCCTCATGAAGAATGACAATGCTAAAACTCCTGCTCATCTCTCAAGTCTAATTTCGTAGTCCGCGGAAGTGCCTCAGTCAACGGATCATGAAGCTCGAGGGCCTTTCGTAAGATATTCCTTAGTCAGCCACGGGACCTTACCAACACAGGCAGCACAGTGTGCCTTGGACATATCACACACTGTTCCAGCCCCGATGGCCCCAGATGTGTCGCTTATGTACAGGAGCTTGATGATCCGCCATAATCTCCTGGCTGGGCACACAGGAGTATGACCGCATTGGCGTCTGTCAGCCTCGTCAGAGTTTTTCCGTTTCCAGAGCCCCCTGTACTCGTAGTACTGACATTTACCGCTCGGGGCAAGGTTCAGACTTTAAAGTTTGCTTGGTGTTACCCGCTTTAGGTTTCCAGAGAAGCGCCAGGAAGCTGGGTTGAATAACGTTGCATTGACCCGCCTGATGATATGTATAGGATCGTGGGCTGCGGAAGGTACGAGGACAGTACTGTCGTTGCCTAGGCCATATCAGGTGACTCGGAGCTTGTCATCGCTGCATATTTTGTGTCCAACGCACAGTGGCAACGCTCTGCTTTTCTGCTTTCGCTCCGCCCTTTCGCGTTCAGTCTGCAACGTAGCACAGCCCGGCCAGAGCTAACCTGGAGCCATGGAAGGTGAGAAGTCACATAAAAAGGGCTCTTCCTTCATGCCCCTCTCCAAGGCGAAACTCAAGCCTAGGTACAACTTTTATCTCGGTCATGGGAAAATCACACCACTTTCGGGTAGGGGTATAGGATAAACTTAAACCTCAACTTGAATAAACATTTGCCTTGGAGTTCCGATATAAGAGCACCTCTGTGGCCCTCCAAATTCGGTGTTCGCATTCGTCTGACGCATCATACATCACCATTGAGGAACCATGTCGGACAGCAAGCTCATTGTCATCCTGGGGAGTGGACCCGGCATAGGAGCTTCGACTGGAGCACTGTTCGCCTCCATGGGCTTCGACGTCGCGTTGCTCTCTCGGAATGTCGAGCGTCTAGGCCAGGATGTCATCAGAGTGCAGACAGCAAACCCGCGTGTCAGGGTCAAGGCATATCCTGTCGACGTTGGAGATCATAACGCCCTTGCATTAGCCCTCGCCCAAGTCCGCGCAGATCTAGGGCCGCCGGAAGTGGTATATTTCAACGCCGCAAGAGTTGCACCGTCCAAGATCGGCGGGACCAGTCCGGATTTGGTGTTGGAAGACTTCAAGGTGAGAAACCCCGACCGGATGTGGGATGGGGGCTTAGCAATGCTTCCAGGCTGTTCGCTGACGTCTCTGGCACAGAGCATGAATATTGGTCTTTTCGTGGCAGCATCATGGGCGTTGCCACATTTGACTGCCGCCGCCGAGCGACCAGGGACTCATCCGTCATTCTTGTTCACCAACAGTGGTCTGTGGGACCGTCCGCTGGCCGACTTCGCCTCGCTCTCGATGCAGAAGGCGGCACAGTACAACCTGATGCTGAGCCTGAAACAGATGGTGGAAACCAAGGGGGTGCATGTTGCCGGCGTCAACATTGGCGGGCTGGTCAGAGACGAAGATCCCGTCATCAATGCCAACAATATTGCGCGGGCCCTGTTCGATCTGTCCCAGGAGGACAAACCGGACTGGCAGTGGGAGGTTAAGGTGGGAGACTGGGACGAGTTCTTGAAGCAAATGGCTGGTCAGAAGGCCGCGTGATCGTGATCAGATCATTGTCTGCAGTATTGGGGGTACATAAACATAATCCAAGTCCACATCCCAGACGCCCATAAAAGAAAGCCGGATGTGGTATCTACTCGTACGTTACCCTCTCCTCCCAGATCACCTCCGCAACCCCTTTTTTTGGTTTCACAAGCCTGCAATTAGACCACCAAGCCAGCACGTGGAGAATGGCGGCGCTGCCTCGTGGCGCCCTTTGCGGGGGCTCCAATTCGGCTGAATCGCACCTGGGAGAAAAAAACTCTCTCATCAGCCACTTAGGTTACTACTGTATCCAGGAGTCTGTTGTTGAGGGGCAACTATCAGCTAAACGAAAATGACCGACTAGAACTCGCAATCCGCCCACGCTCGCTCGAGTGCCGAAATGCACTACCACACTTACTTACTTACCCAACCACCTACACAGGTACGGACCGAGTACTTGGTGCTACTGTGCCTACTTACTTTCTGTACCTACTTACTCGTGCAACTGTTCCCATTTTTCACATTTTTCCTCCCTGATTTTCGTCATCATCCAGACTTGAGTTGGGCCTGTTTTCGTCTCTTGTCGGGGTTTTTGTGGTTCTGCACAATTCCATTCCTTTTTCCTTGTCCCTCCCGTCCTCCTCGTCGTTGCTCGTTTCCTGCTTGCTTCTCCAAAGTCCACTAGTGTTGGCAGCAGCACCAACAACGCCAACATCGTCAATCGCCTCGCATACCCACGCCGAAAACCCACCATGCACTTCGCCTCCCTCCTTCTACTGCTCCCGCTGCTGGTCCAGGCAGACCAGGTGCCCTTGAAAGACAAGGCCGCGGGCTGGTTCGATAAGGTGAAGTCATTCATCCCCAGCGGCGTCGGTGGTAGTGCTAGCGGTGGTGGTGCTCCCTCCGCCTCGGTCCCTGTGCCTCCCCATCCGCTCGCGGCGGGCGCAGCTAGGGTCGCCGAGAACAAGGTCGAGAAAATCAACATCCGCAATTGGCAGCGCAAACTGTCGCCCAAGCCCGATACCGAGGAGGAATGGTTGGTCTATTTGACAGGCGGCAACAAGACTTGCTTTGGCAGGTGTGGGCCCGTGGATGCCGTGTGGAATGTATGTACACTGCCTCACAAATCAAAACCAAAATTCAAGAAAAAGAAAGAAAGGAAATGGCAAAAGGAAAATAAGGAGACATCCTTGTGATTGATTATTGACTCTTCCGCTCCCTAGGAATCCGTCCCCTTGCTAGCTGCGCTGCCCCGGCCCGCAGGCTCCCCTCCACTTATACTCGGCCTGCTGGACTGCGAAAAGGATGAGGTGCTATGCACGGCGTGGGCGTCTGGCGTGCCTGTGATTTACCACTTCTTACTGCCCAAGCAGTCCGCGGCCTCGGCGGGCGCGAAGACACCTCTGCACATCATCCCGCTCAACACTTCCACCACCACCGTGGCCGACATCACCAGCCTGCCACGCGCCTCCAAGTCGCGATACCAAGAGTACCCCGAGTACACGGGCGTGTTGCACCCGATCGACGGCTTGCTCGCCAAGACCGGCGTGCTGCAGCCGTTCGGGTACTTTATGTGGGCGCTGGGAACCATGCCGTCGTGGATGATGATGCTGGGCATCAGCTTCATCTCGCGCCAGATCATGAGCCGGAGGATGGGTGCTGGTCGGGGCGTTCCCGCCGCGGGCGACGCCCAGCAACCGGCCGCGCCCAGAGTTGCGCCCGCAGCTCCGGCGGCGCAGCCCAGGGCCGGCGGCGGTGGGAGCGCGCGGAAGAGGAAGTGAGTGAGGAACATACAGAGAAGGATGGAGAAAGAGAAAAAACAGAGACGGGTGATGTAATGGCGTGGGCGGAAAGATGCCTGAATGAACGGCAAGGAGACATTGAATTTGTGTTGGAGACGTCCTATCTTGAGTCGGGACATCACCGACATCATACCGCCACCAGCAGCTAAAAGTGCCATTTATTTGTCCCATGTTGTTGTCATTATAATCCATCATGGCCCCTGCTAGCACGCTTGGAGCTGGATGTAGAATAGCCCTCCCTGGGGCCCGACACATAAGGAGCTCTCATCAAGGCTGCGCGAAAGTGCTCGCTACACTTTCTTCGACATCGGATGCACTGGGAAATCCAAACCACTTCATATCTTCTCTTCGTCTCACTTGTCTCTCACCATCCCATCATGCTACCACCCTATGGTGCACTATTCACTCTGCCCTCGGTATCGTCACCCTCTCCATCGCCTCCGTGCGTAATCTCGACGCCCAACTCCTTCCTGAGTAAGTCGCTTAGACTGCTCCGATCCCTCAGGTAGATCCACCTGCCGCCGCTCTGCCCGTCGTCTCCGAGGTCGACAGTCGAGTCGGCTTTCTCATGCTGCGAGTCGCCCGAGACGACCCAGTCGTAGCGCTTGGGGCCGGAGATCGGGGAGGAGAGCCAGATCTGTTTGTTCGGCGGTTGTTTGTTGATCACGTAGGTACCGTGCTTCGGGTGGGTGATTGTGAGCACGCCGGCCTGGAGATTACGACAAGGGGAGTAGCTAGTTAGTATCCTGTCCCAAATGCGGGGGTGGAGGTGAATAGAGTCAAAGTTGATGGGTTCAAAAGGACAAGTGAGAGGGAGTTTTCAGTGGTAATAGTGTGCGTACCGAGAATTCCGCCTCGACGCCCTCCGAACTTCGCTCAGCGAGTTCTTCCATGGCCAACACCAAGGTATTCAGATATTGGTCAGCGATCTCATGATACTCGGGGTCTGAGATTTGGGCAGCGCCCGATGAGTTGCTTTGCGAAGGCTCGGTGTTGGGCGGATCCGGGTTGCTACTGTCTGGTTGCAGGCCCTTCAAGGATCTTGTGAAGGCGGTGGAGAAAGGAGCTCCTTGACGAAAAATAGGGAAGAGAGGTGTCGAAGCAGGAATGGCGACACGTTGAGCAGGAGAGGGACGTTGTCGGCGAAGGAGGATGCTCGGTCGCGTGGCACGCAGGATACGACCGGTTGCTTTCATGGCTGCCAGTGGTTTACAGTCTGCGACTGTTCCTTTTAGTAGAAGGTCGTAGGCAAAAAGGCCCTGCCACACGCCGAGGTGTTTAAATAGGAGAGAACGGCGTTTCCAGCAAGGTCAAGTGTATTAACGAGCACTCGGCCATTGACTGAGTTGGAGTGAAGGTCTGGAGCAGCGAATGACGAATGACGACAGCGTCTTGCGGTTCGGCAGACTCCAAGCTGGGAGCTTCATGATTGGTGGAACATCTCAGCTCCAGAGTACCAGGTACTCAGCGAGTTCGGGCATTTCAAACTGGACTCTACAGAGAATACCTCGTAAATCATGGATATATATGTACGCAGGTGACTATCTGAAGAACTACTGTTACAGCCCTTTAATGATCATCTGTCGACCATTCTGACCAAAGGTACCATCCAATGTCGCGATTGGGAGCAATGCTCATGAGAAGACCTCCATAAATCCACTACAGACCTGGTATAAATTCCCTTTCGTTACGACTCTTGAGTCAATTCTCTGCTAAGGTCTCTGTACCCTACCAACAACTTCTTGACTCCGCCGATTTCGCTTCAACTCTTGGCTTGGCAGTTCTCAGGCCAGATCCCAACTTCTCTTAGACCCGACCCATAGACTAACGTTCGATGTAGTGCCGATATATTCTCGACGAGGATCCCAGATCCGGTCCGCTCTAGTTCCCACCTTATATCCCTCCTATAGTCCGGGCCTACCCTCCGCCATAATGAAACACTGGCCGACAGCGAAGCGACTTCCTACGCCGACAGGTGTAAAGTCATATTCGTCAGGTCTCACAATCAGCTGGATCCATTGCTGCGGCTTGTAGCAAAGCAGTGACTCAGTTTGTCTCGTTATAGTTGACGAAAGCGGCAACCGCCCTCCACCGTCCAGAATGGCGCGAAATGGTAGGGCAGTTTGTTTTCCTCGCGTGTCAGGGCGGTAGATCTCGTTCTTGTCAAACACCGTACAAATGTCTCTCAATCACTCCCCAAGTCCTCCTATTTGCTAAGATCCTGCGCTTTTGATTCAATGTAGAAGCCTGGATCCGGTACTCGTTCCCGGTGTATTTCTTGTTTTGTCAAAGGTTCATCCACTTCCGAGACGGCAACCAGCTCCTTCACTTTCATGATTTGGCCGGCGATTGCAGGGGTGACGGGATGGAATACGGTTGCCATGCGTTTGCGAAGGCCGAGCGCTTTGAGCACGTTGCCTGATTTTGCTGGGAGGCCGATGGCAGACCTGATCAAGGTGATGCGGAAGTAGGACATGGTTAACGGAAAGGGAGGAATGTGAAGCCGAGCACCTAAGCTTGCAGGTCGACGAGAGGATTGGGGGTTTGGATATCCTCGGTGCAGGAGATGTTTCTTAGGTAAGTTGGAGAGCAGAGTGGTTAGGATTTAAACTGTATCGGTGGACTGAAGCCGAGTTGTCATCCTTCGAACCAACAACCTGAGAAGGTGAATTGAAATCGTGAAAGCGGAGTCAATCGAAGATGCAGCCCTGTCTTGGCACGAAAACATGAGTAAAACCGGCTCGAAGCTCACGTGCAACTCTCCATGGTCTTGCCGCTTTTACCAACACTCAACCTTCCTCTTACCTTCGCGCTAATAATACCTCGTATACTTCTCTGTTCCGTACCACTTTCTTCCACAGCCATTAACCAAAATACAGTCTTGCATACTGGAAACCTTTCCTTGCTCTGTCCATAGGCGCTTGCTGAATCTACCGTTATGTGGTCTTGACTGCCAAGACCTGACCACGGAACCTAGCCATGTCATCGAAGCTATCTGACCCAGGATAATCGGCTTGGAGGAGATATGGGGGGGATCATTGATATCAGCTCGTTGAAGACCTTATTGTCCGATTCCTTCTGGTGTTGCAGTTGCCCGCCGTCAAATTAAACAGAGCAGTTTAGACCATAGTATCTTTATTGGAGCAAGGTCAGTGAGATCATTCTGCAGGAGTTGCCTTGCTCTAAAGACTTTTCTCGTGGATTATGCATGTTCACCCCTTGACATAACACCGTGCATGGCGCAGCGCGAATCAAAATGCGCCACGTTCGGCCATCATGGATGGCAGCGCTGGTTGATGAGAGTCCTCCAAGGAAACGTTTCTCGAGGCGCTTGACAGTGTCGCACCTCAGACCTACAGCAGACGTGACGCCTTGCAATTGGTAGGGATAGTGATCGCTGCAGCGCAGGCTGCAGTTTGACTGCTCGCGAAATGCACCATGTCGTTATATTGACCAGTGAAGAGCCAGACGTTGACCAGCCAGAGACGTTACTATTGACTTAGAGCTCTCACCTTATGACCAAGACTATATAATTTCGCCATATGGCGCTAGACCCCGCAGACTCCTCCTCACTGCATCTAGTCCAGACGAGGTCGCTGCAGTATTGCAAATGGCGAAGAAGTTTTCCAGACCGAAGGGCAAGACAAGGACGTCTTTCATGTTTCCGGCGCTCCATGAAGACGTCGCGAACGCAGTCTCCCACAGCATAGCCTCCACATGGTTTTGCCAACGCAACAGCGACGAGGGCACCAACAACATATACGCGACTCACGTCATGGGGAGGTTCAGCTGCAACAATAATGCATGTGGCAACGGCTGGAGCAGCAAGAAGGTGGCTATACTTATAAGGGGTTACGCCGAGAATGGGTACAATGCTGAAGTGTTCAATCAACGTTGCAAAACCTGCAACAAGCTAGGCACTCTGATTCTGGATAAGAAATCATATGTCGACCGAGTCGCATACAGAATCCAGAGGTGGGCTGGCGTTCAACTCGAGCGGCAATATCACGCTTCTAAACGAGGCATGCCACACAAGAGAGAATTCTGCGAAGGCTGTAAGAAAGGTGTTTGTCGACAGACGGATGAATAGGACTACGACTGAATGCTGCGGTTCGATGTCGAGAAGTTGAGAAGTTGCGAGAGCGACTAGAGCTTGAGCTGAGCTATGTAGGATATTACAAGAAGCTCGCCGCAAGCGGATGGCCCCAACGGATATTACGCTCGAATGATAGCAACCACGTCGAGGCCATGGGATTCTTGGCATCCGGATAACGCATCTGATCTCCAAAATCCTCACTGAGAAGCTGAATAACATCTGACTCGGATTCTTTTAGGAGCTCAAGGTGACTCTTCTCCGCTTGTCGAGTTACGTTGGTGAATGAAGCTGCCTGAACAATAGTAAGCGGTAGAGAAGTCAATACTTGCACCAACGACAACACTTCTCTTCGGTCTCCTGCCGGCTTGGTTACTTCTCACCTCTCTACGAACATCTCGAGAGCTTTATCCTCAAGTAGGGGTTTTAGGGGGATTGCCTCTTTTACGGCTGGAAAAGACGCGACACTTGTATTACAAGTAGTGATACGGATAGTCCCATTTGGCGTTTCAGGCAGATAGTTGACATGTGAAACTCGCCAGATGCAACCTCCAGTGTAAATCGACTCTTACCTATACCTCAGAAGCCAACGACGGACATGATTCGGCAACCATTTGTTTCGAAGAGTGACCGTACACCCCAGCAAATCTCTTGCTTTAAGCTGGTAAATCTCGACGTCTGGCCAAAAGGGTGCATGCCATATGGGGTTAAGGCCTCATGGGTAGTATATATGTCGTAGTGAATAGAATAGCTACTTCTGGTAAACCTAGTAATGTCCTATTCGAGCCGAGATAACGCAAAATGTCTCTCATCGTAGTTGAGGTACAGAGAAGCGCCAAGATTCCCAAGTAGATAGAACGCTCTATCTTCCCTCTTTCTAGTATGACGTCCGGCTACCCACCGCCTCTTCTCATCATTGCTGAAATTTGATAAAGGCGTACCCAGTAAAGCCGAAACCTGGATACTCGTAATAATTTGGTGAATGACTTGGTCCAGTAGATTTCGATCACCCAGACGCTCCTCTTCACGCAGAAGAATTCGGCTAATTTCGATGCGAGCAGTTTCTGCAGCGTCCAGCTTTGTGTGAACCGTTTGCTCCCTAAGCGTGTGATAGAATCGCGTAGAACGGGCTGCCTTAGGGAGGATAGCTAGAAAAAACCGGCGAATCCATGCGGTCAAGTTCCAGAAGACGTATTATGTGACGAAGGATTGTGACCGTGGTCGACCACGTGCGACAGGGATATCAACATGATACTGTGAGTGGCAAAGAGAACGAGACAGGGAGCGCAAGGCGGTATACCGCAGATAGATTTGGAACGGGATTCAGGTTGAGGTCCGCGCAGCGTCGCGAAAGAGAAGTGAGCTCTTGCAAACCACAGCCCGGGGTGACAGAAGAGCGGGGTGACAGATGAGAAGGGAGCATGGAGTTCCCAAGAATGAGAACAAGGGAGAAGCACTGATAGTTTCTCGAACGTCCATCTTGTTCTCTGAATGGGGTCGCTTGAGGCTAAATGAGAGCTAACTCTTCCTCATAGCAACGAGCGTCGTCTCTCAGTACCTACGCAAAACATGTGAAGCAATCTTCCTTTACGATTGGGAAGACGTCGACTCTGCCTCTTTCAAAATAAGCGCTGCCCATCATTGCAGTGGCCAAGCCTTATTAGACGCTGCCAGGCAAGGCTGATATATCTCAGATGCATGAACATGGTGGCAAGTTGCTTGCGACAGGTATTTCGACCCGAAGAACTCATTGAAATTCTCGACAGCTCATCTCCTTCACTGTCAGGTTACGGATATCTCTCTGGGTCTCCACCTGTCCTTAATCCCATCCCATAGAATAGGGCCATTTCATCCCGCAAACTGAAGGGATGGGACCACACGTCTACTGTCGGCATGCTCGTACTCCAACATCTGGCGGATATGTCCTCTCTTTTAACGCTCTCCTGTTTTGGCTAGTATAAGTCACTGATAACTGAGAGATCTAGATGGGACAGGAGACAAGGTAGAATCTCCAGAACTTCCCGGTATTTCAACGAGCTCTGGCAAGAGCTGGAGCTGCGCTTGTTGATGGCTCGAACTTTGTGAACAAACCCATCAATCCTGTGCGGGCAGGTGGAAACAAGACATAGACCAAAACGAATGGTACACAACGCGACTGCTGAACGTTGGCCCGCCAGACCAGAAAAGAGGTTCTACGAAGCTCCTCAGAACAGCGACGACTTGTCCCAAGGGGCATATCCCATTCTCGGTCAGCGCTGGAGGGGTCTTCAGGATGAATACGTAGAAGGCCATTGAGGAAGAGACGTGGCTCATCAGCTTCTGTGGAAATGCCGAGCCATGTGGCCTAGGAAGCGTCCGGGGACTGTCGAGTACAGAGCACCATCTTGGTCATGGGCCACTGTCGATAGCGAGATCGATTTACCCTCCAACCGGCTGTGGACACATATGAAGTTCTGCATGAAGTTCTGGACGTCCAGGTTACCACTAGCGCTCGATCCAACCGGTGCTGTGGTGGCCGGCTTTCTTCGAGCCCAAGATCCTCTCACTCGAGCCATCCTCCGGAATACAAATCGACATGACCCTCAACATACATGGGCATGACAATAGTGCAGTGATCTTGTTGGATTGGAGTGGGTCTGGATCTGGGTTTCGCTCCAATCCAATCAAGAGGGTTGACCGGCAGTCATCCTAAATATCCAGTTCTGGGTCATCATTCAGGACTAGACGCAGAACAAGGGGTCCCTGTCGACCTAGTGGCGGCTTTCGGGGAGTGATGCAGTCCGTACCTATCTTGGTCGATACAGAATTAAATGCTGCCTGTGATCGGCCAAATCTGTCTTCAGGCAAGACAACGGTTTCAAGAAAGGCTTTTGAGCAATACCAATCCCTGCTCCTCCAGTACGCTGGTGCCTACAATTCCATTCCATCGTACCATAGTACGTCTCAATCCCGCCCGAGAAGACACCTAAGGGTTCCCGCTACAGTCCTTCCCGAAAGCGAGCCTATCCTTTGATGGGCACAACCGCACTTTTCCCAAGTCAAGGTTAAGGGCAGCCGTGGTGCAGGCTCACTTGAACATGGTACATCAGACGCAACAAGAGAACCACTCTGAAGGTGCTACTGTACCTTCCCTGCATGCGGGTCACTGGCGGTATCTCGTGGTTACAGTAATGTATGTGAGATACCGACAATCATTCTCATTGCGCGAAGCCCCTTGACTTCAGCGCCCTATTACTGAGTCGCTCAAAACGCCGAATCCTGAGCCAAAGGCTGTTTTCGCCTACAGTGGTTCCCGAAATCGTCATCGCCTTGCGGACCTTTATACTTATGTGCTTGTATCGGAGACCTGGGAATAGTATCCGTAACTGCCACAGGGAGTCGATGGGGTCAAGGCAGCAGGATCAAAAGTCGGATCAATTTGACCGGTCTGGAGCTGATATTGGCCGCATGAGTACGGATACTCCAGTGGCGTGATGTTGATGCCCCATTCAAACCCCTGGCTCAGGCTCGGACCAGAATAATATGGTAATGTGAGGTCCAGATCTGTCTTTTCAACGCGGTCGGGGGAGATGGACGATTCCGCATTGCCGTTGACCCACCCTTGGGGGTCGACATGACTCCCCAGATTTGGAGGTAAGCGTGTTTCGGACGAGAAGTCTGGCACATCCACGTCCCAGGCCAAGTTACACTGCTCGCGCGGCTGATTTGATTGCGTGTCCGCGCTGCTACCGCTAGCACGGTCCCGCACCATCCTCGGGTCGGTGAAGGACCGCGATACAGAGAGTTGCGAGGAGGACGCTGACTCTGATTCGATGGTCTGCCTCCTCCTCCCCTTGGACCAAATCCAATCTGGGGGCTTCTTGTCCACCGTCAGAAAAGCGCAGGGCTGACCCTTCCGCCGACAATTGAGGCAGCTATCTTGCTCTCTTCTTGGCGTGAGGAGACATCGCGTCTTGCTTTTGCGGCAGCCTACGCAAGCGATTGAGGCACGGTAATAGCCGAGTTTGGATCCTCGTGACGCTGGCAGCTGGCGAGGGCGTGGGTACGGAAGCATTTTGGATTCCAACGATAGGAATAATAGTAAGGCAAGTCCTGATGCACGTTATCCTTCGATCTGACGGAGTAATTGTAGCTCTCTGGCAATCATGTCTGCAGAACTCGAAGTCAGAAGAACATCCCGGATATCCTTATTTAAAGGCTTATCTTAGCATGGAGCGGCGAGATCCGCTCCTTTACGGCCATCATGTTCCGTACGAAAGGATACCCGTGTGGGTCTGGTGGCAGATCCACCTCAGGGCAAAGATCTCGCCTACTAATCCACTTTGCATGGCCAGGTATTGTCGATGCAATTCAAAAATGCACGCCTGGCCGTTCAGGTCAATAGAGAGTCTCCAAGGCGTCGCTCTAAGACGCAGCACCGACCCTCTCCGGCTATGCCTTTCGCCCGATCGCTGCCAACCAGCCCAGAAGCGTGGTGCAATGCAGCCTCAGTATGGTGTTTATAGTAATGGGCCAAGGCGGTACATACACAATCCTGGGGGCTACCTGATCCAATACCGGGTATAGTACCGAGACGGTACTCACTACGCAATGCTCTTGTCGGGAATTACGACCTCCCTGCCACCCACACTGCCCGTCTCCCCAGCAATTCTCCCTTCCAACCGTGCATCTTCTTCAATATGTTTTGGAACGATGACTGTTTCCTCGCGGAAATAGTTCGTGTCGCTGACATAGAACATGGTGACCGTATACAGAAAGAGGATCCCCACAAAATAACAGGCAAACTGGAAGGACAGCTGCGTGATATACGTCCCTCCGTTGCCGTCGATGATGAAGCTGAACATCATGCCGAGGGCAGTAGTTCCTCGGAAGCACGACGCTCGGCGCGCCAGTCGCTCCGGGTCGTTGGTCAGGGCACAGATCACGTACTGTGTCGCGATTTGGTATATGCTACGGATTACCCGTGTCAATGGGGAACTCTCTGAACATACCTCGAGAAAGCTGGCGCTGTTGGGCTTGGGGATCTGGACTTACCTGTAAACACTTCCGTATATGACATATATGACAAATGCTCCGGCGAATGCAGAATCAGTCCAATCGGTGGAGGGACCTCGTTCATTGCGATCCAGATGATGTTCGGCGAGCCACGCAGCCTCGGCGGCACATATGGCAAGTGTGATCGCGCTCATGACAGATATCCCGATCAGTGCTCTTGTCTTCCGCCGACCGAATCGAGGATTATCAAGGATGTAGGTCATCCCAAAGCTCGCCGGTAGCTGGATAAAGTTGAACATGACGTTGTTTAAAGAACGGGTGCGGAGGTTGAAGTAATAGCCGTTGAGAGAACTCTGGAGGGCTAGGGCCATTTCGGCGACAAATATGGCCGGAAGCAGCATCATGAACCGGAAGTCTTTGATCATCTCAAGGATCCCAACCAGCTCGCTTCTCAACGAAGGCTGCTTGAATATCGCAATCTTGGTGCCGTCACTGCGCACAACCTTCGCCGGCCGCACAAGAAGCGTCAGAGCCAGAACCATAGCCAAGACCTGAATGATAACAAAGACGACGTATACCGGAGTGGGCGCACCAGCATCTTGCCGCGCACTGTGCATGTTGATGCCGAGGGCGACTAGGGCAGCGACTGTCGAGCCACCTGTCCCGCATTAAACAAAAATATCTTTGCTGATTGACTTTTAGGAAGCAGCTTACCTTCGCACATGCACCATTGGATTGTCATAAACAGAGCCTTGTCCTTCTCTTCGGCGTACGAGTACGCAATTGCGCCAGCAGATGCCCACAAAAGAGCAGCAGACACACCTTCGATGCCTCCACCCATGTACGCCAGCCAAGAGTTTCCAGTTCTGTCGAAGTACCAGAGACCACCTGCCGCCAGCGTGAGTGGTTAACAAAGCGGGAAGAGCACGAGTGGGGTTAGGTAAGATGGCTCACCTGTGTATAGACTGTATCCAATTGATCCAAGAAACACTGTATAATTTGGACCGATAAGGTTCATCACAGAGCCAGCAAACCATCCGGTCACGAAGAAGACGCCATACAAGATGGCGTTCACATTCGCAGCCACGGTCTGAGAAGACGGCTTTCCTCCACCGGCCCCGAGACCTGTCAAAGCCAGGTAGATGCCAGGGAGACACAGGAGCATCAAACTAGATCACAACGTTAGAACTCAACCCAAGAGGACCTACGGGTTTGTGCTGCAGTGCGGAATGAGGGAATAAGCTTACCCGGCAATCAAATTCTGGACAAAGGGATGATTCAGGCGCAAGTCTGCTCTCTTTAGCTCCATCCTGAGGTCTGTTTGTAACTATTAGACGATGGAAAGTTGGTTTTGATCTCGAGGCTTATTTTATCGTAGTTGTACAGTGACAAGCAACAAGCTGGAGGGACACAGAGCCAGTTCCTTTTTTATACACGGAAGACGAATTATGTATTCAAGAAGCGCGATGACCGCGTCGGGATGCTGGAGGGCCATCTCGCCATCATATCACTGTCCACTCCCTGCATCAAGTCACAAGGGAGCGGACCCATGTTGATCCTCTTCACCATTTCGGCACTGTATCAGTCAACCATACGGAAAATGGTCAGGTGGAGTTGACGATGATGGTAGAAGATGGCGGTGGGGACAGATCAGAGTATATGAAGAACTGGAGAGGAAGACGTCGTGGTAGTACTCGGAGAGTTTCCGAACACTGCGTACTCGGCATTAGACTAAATAAAGTGGACATCGGCACTGTATCTATAGCCAACCATGGGACATCTAACCGCGGAACGCCCTAACGTCCTTGCATATCCTTGACTGCTATGCAACATATGGAGAAAAGGGCGATGCAGCGAAATGCAATGCACGCTGGGCAGAGACCTACTTCATTGGGAGAGGTGGATTTGTGGATCTTAATAGCAGTTATCGCGGATCATGCTGACCAGTGTCGAGCAAGTCCTGCTACAACTCAGAAGAGGCTCACATGCGTGCTACGCCATCGCGCATACCGATCATATAAAGGCCCCGTGGAGGGAGAGGTATTCATTTTTCTACGAGCACTTGAACGTGCCATACCTGGCATAGGAACAGCGGAAGACAATGAATCCAATACGGGCAATGTTTCCAATTCTCCACGCCACACTGGTGGCGGCATCGAGAAATGCTTCCAAGGGATATACGAGAAGGCGAAGTCATCAAAAGGCTCTCCAATTCCGGTCATTCACCACGAAGAACCGACTCTACTCCGCTTCAAGCCTGGCCGTCAACCAGCAGAGACTATGGGACACTCTACATCACACCGCACAGTGGGGTGCGACACCTGAAGGAGGAGTCCGACGCCTGACTCTCACCAAAGAGGACAAGGCCGTCCGCGACTGGTTCGTCGACACGGCACAGCAGTACGGCGCGACGGTCAAGATCGATGAAATGGGCAATCTCTTTGCTGTCAGACCGGGCCAAAACAGTAACATTGCTCCCATCGGCATCGGATCACATCTGGACACCCAGCCCGCTGGAGGCAGGTACGACGGCATCCTGGGTGTCCAGGCAGGGATCGAGATCCTGAAAGTCCTGCACGAGAACAACTATACCCCCTACGCCCCGATCGCGGTGATCAACTGGACAAACGAAGAGGGCGCTCGGTTCAACACGGGTATGTTGTCCAGTGCTGTGTGGGCAGGCAACGTGTCGCTCGAACACGCCTACAACCACACCGACTCGGACGGCTTGCGTTTCAAGGACGAACTGGCCAATATCGGATACCTTGGCTCCGTCAAGGCCACTCACACGGCAAACCCGCTCTCGGCCCATTTCGAATACCATATTGAACAAGGCCCTTTGCTGGAAGACGAGGCCAAGTCCGTGGGGGTCGTGACCGGAGTCCAAGGAATGACTTGGCTCATGGTGACGGTGAACGGGCGATGCCAGCATTGTGGCACCACGCCGATTGATCGACGAGCCGACGCCCTCCTCGCGGCAGCGCAGATGATTTCACGCATCAACACCATCGCTTGGGAGAACAAGGGCCTGACCACCGTCGGGGTCATCAATTCCGAACCGCAGTCTCCCGGCACGATTCCGGGGACCGTCACTTTCAGCGTCGACATCGAACACCACTCCAACGAGACGCTGGACAAAATGGCCCAGATCGTCCGAGAAGCGTGCGCCTCTATTGCGCAGGGTAACAGCTGCACGGTCGACATCAAGCAGATCTGGAGGAGCGCCGCGGTCGAGTTCCACAAGGACTGCATCGACGCCGTGCGGGCGTCTGCGATTGAGCTGGTGGGTGAAGATGGGTATAGAGAGTTACCCGCTGGGGCGGGCCACGACAGCGTCAACACTTCGTATATCTGTCCCACGGCGATGGTGTTTATTCCGTCCAGGAACGGCATCTCGCACCACCCGAGCGAGTATTCGACCCCTGAACACTGGTAGGTGGCCACTCCTTGCTCCTTGCACAGCTCCCTCCCATGTTATCTTGAGGTATAAGGTATACCATGTTTTGCTAACGACTGGAGTGTGTGTGGCAGTGCATTGGGAACGCAAGTGCTGTTGAACGCCGTCCTGCGGTACGACGAGGTTCTCAGAGCGCAAAGGGAGGGAAGCTAGTATCGGATAGACGGATGCTTGTTCAATTTATCATTACATAGAACAAGCAGGGCCCAATATTGATGACAGCTTTCAAAGAATCTCCGCAGCTCCAAGTTCTTTCGTGACTCGCACATCTACCAATGGTCAACCCGCAGCTCTCAAAATCGTGTGGTAACAATCCCACACGGCGAGCTGCAAAGGGACTGTCTCGAAACAACCCACCCAGATGTCGTCGTGTATGCGCCACGCCTTTGAAAAATCGGCTCTTGATAAAAGTGGGTGAGATCGCGGCCTGCCCACCCGGTTCGGCAATAACACTATACTGTCGAGGAGGCTCTCTTGAAGCAGCCACGTCGAAACATGCCTGGACGCAGGTATTTGTATACCGCAGAGAGCGACTTCACGCAACTTGTAGCAAGTTATACAGACTAGCTGTAGTAGCTCACAACCTTCGAAGCACGAGCAGCCTTCCGCCGACATTAGTCGACGATCTCAACCCGACCACATCTGAGCGCAAGACCTCGATTTTGGCATTGTTGTCGGCATCGGCAGTCCGCAGGCGCTTGACCTCTGCGCCGAACCCGGCGCTCTCGAAGATATCGTCGAGCACGGTAGCGACGACGAGGCCTCGGCGGCGTCTCACGAGGCGCACAAATTCCTGCACGACCTGCGGCCCCACGTGTCCGCGCGTCAGCGTGCCGACGCAGATAACCGCGTCAAAGGATTCGTCTGGCTTCGCGATCGGGTTTGACAAATCGGCCTGCTCGAGCGCGCCGTAGACATTTGTGCGGTGCGCAACAGAAAGCATGCCCGGGCTGATGTCCAGGCCTGTGACGCCCTGCGCGCCGAAGCGTGCCAGCTGTAGCCCGACCAGGCCCGTGCCGCAGCCTGCGTCCAGGATCTGGAGCCCTGCGAGCTGCTGGTCCCGTTCATTCCGGCGACTACCGGGACCGTGAGCGTGACCGTAGCCGTGGCTTCTTTCGCCGTCGAGCGCATCGACGAGTGCCTGCGTGGCGAGCTTGGGGGCGGCGTATGCCTCCGCCTCGAGGTCCTTGTCGTATTCCGCCGCCCACTCGTCGTACAGATCGCGCGCCTGGGCCGCGCTCGAGAGAGCGTACGCCCGTTTCATGAAGGGGTTGTTACCCACCGGATGAGTTGTTGAGTCCGCCATGAATATGCGTTGACGTGTTAGTTCTTCTGCTTAGGATATTTTCCCCTCTTGCTGAAAGACTTGATTTGGCACCGGTTTTCTCAAGAGGAAACAGTGTTAACTGCGTTGAGCAGAGCACCGCTGCACCAGATGGTGTCGGGGATTTGAATCTACTTGCTCACTGGATTGACGAACACAGAGGGAAGAAAAGAACGAAGGTTTCGCTCCTCGCTTGGTATTTTAACACAGTTGAACACGATTGCCGCTCACCCACCAGGTTTTCCATACAGATCGACGAAGAGTTTCACAAATCGGAGACGAAGCGAACTGTCTTGGTTTTTTTTTTTTTTTTTTTTTTTTTGCAAATACAAAACCCCGCTGCTCCGTGGACAAGTCCTGGGCTCATGTAGCGGAAAGCTCCGATAGAGTTCGTGTGGATTGTTTGTCATTTATCCCGGCTTTACATCGACTGGCATCTTCAGAAGTTTTACTTCCGCTTTGGCAACGGGTCGATCTTGTTTCAAGGCCCAAAATTAATACTACTATTCGATTACCAGGATACTGTATCTGGAGAGAGGGAACAATGAGAAAATAGGCACTCCGTCGTGAGAAGCAAAGACCGTCGACTTCGAAACCTCAACCATGTCCTTCTCCTTCTTCTTTCCTCGGTCAACCACAAGGCATTCTTCTCCCTCTCCTTCTGCAGCGTGCTGCCGCCTCAGCGGATGTGTTGCCCAATCACCCTAGACTAATCTCCTGCAAGCGCACCAGTTCAGCATATCTCCCGCCCTTGGATATCAACTCTGCGTGGTTTCCACGCTCCAGCACGGTCCCCCGCTCAAACACATAGATCATGTCCGCGTGCTGGATCGTGCTCAGTCGATGGGCGACGGCAATTGTTGTGCGGCCTTTTGCGGCCCGGTCAAGAGCCGCCTGCATGGCCACCTCCGAGGCTGAATCAAGCGCAGATGATGCTTCGTCTAGGAGCCTTTGAAGGTATGATTCAGTCAGCAGACCTGGAGTATTAGAGAAGAGGGCCCTCCGGAGAGAGGAGAGAGTGAGGGGAGGCGCAGGGGCTGCCGTACAAGATTTTGGGATTGCGCAGTAAGGCTTTCGCTATGGCAATGCGCTGCCGTTGCCCGCCAGAGAGCAGACTGCCTTTGGTGCCAACTGAAGTGTACAGTCCATCTGGAAGAGAGAGCTGAATTTTGTCGTCAGTCAGGTTGCCACCATGACAAGGATGATTTGTTGACAAACTTACGACGTAGTCGTAGATGTTGGCGTCCTTGCAAGCCTGAATAATCTCAGCCTCGGACGCATCCTCCTTGTCGGCGAGGATATTGTCTTTGATGGTCCCCATGTGTAGTGTTGTTTCTTGACTCACGAGCGCCAGCTGGCTCCGGTAGTTCTGGACCTGGTATGTCGAAATGTCGTTACCGTCCACGTAGATACCTCCAGACACAACATCGTAGAACCTCTCTAGCAATGAGATAACTGTGCTCTTGCCGCTGCCACTTCCACCCACGAGTGCGATGAACTGTCCTGGCTCGGCCGTGAGGGTGACGTTCTTGAGAACAAGCCGACCTGGACGCGTAGGGTAGCAGAAGGACACGCTGCGGAGTTCAATGCTGCCCTTGAGACCCACCGGACTATCCTTGCCTGTGACTGACCACGAATCCATACTCGGCGTTTGATTGAGGAGAGTCATCACTCGAGCGGCCGCTGCGCGCGCATTGCTCATGTCCCCAGCATACGAAAATATAGCCCCAGCCGCTTGAGATCCCCAGATGACGGCAACGAAACACACGAAGAATTGTTTCACCGTGTATTCGCCATTCGCAATCAAGGTGCCTCCATACCAGAAGGCAAGGCCGCTCGCAAAGAATATAAGGGACTGCGACATAGCGTAAAGGATGGAAGACAAAAGCAATGACCGAAAATCCTTCTTTGTCTGCTGCCTCAACATCTGGCTGTACCGGGAGCAGACATCTCGTTCCATCCTTAGCGATGCCACTGTACGGATCGCGGATACGGCTTCACACGCGAATCCAGCTGCTTCGGTCTGGCGTCTTGTTCGTTTCTCCAAGTCAGCCATAATCCAAGTTCGGAGGAACCCACAAGCGAGAAGAAGCGGCATCGTCGAGGTGCAAACAAGAGCGAGTTTCCAGCCAAAAGAACAAGCCACTGCAATCGCTGAAATGACTGACACAATGAAGTTGAGGAGAGCGGCAAGCGTTGCTCCGCTCATTCCAGCTATCATGGCGGCCTCCGTGGAAAGCATGGACGATAGCGCCCCGGACCCATTTTCCTTCATGTCGAAGAAAGTCATGTCCTGACGAAGTATTGCGCGGAAGGTCAAGTCTCTGGCGTGACGAATCAGTCGAGAAGATGCCCAGGCAAAGGTCATGCCCTGGAGCGTGTATAGGAGAAATAGAGCCAGTCCCAACGTGAGGAACATCGCACACCAAAAATCGATATCGTGACCGCCAGTGCTGGCCCCGGGGTTTACCAGCGAGATGATCGAATTTCCGTAGAAAATAGCGACTATGGAGTACCCGGTGCCCGAGCCCATTGAGACAGCAAGTCCAAGTGCCATCCATGACTGTTCATTTTGATTGAGGGACCATATGAACTTAATGAGCTCCCAGAGACTGTAATGTGGCTGATCCTTGTCTGTTGGAGATGTCCCGTCCGTTGAGATTTGAGTCGACATTAAGTCTGGTTCTTTTGCGTTCTCGGTACCCAGAATGCCTCCGTCTTGGAAATCGATTGCTTCAGATGGGTAATTTGATTCGATTTGTTGAGCCTCCACCAGCGAGTGGTATACCCCTCGATTCCGCACAAGTTCTTCGTGAGTCCCTTGCTCGACGAGTATCCCCGCATTGAGAACCGCTATGTTGTCAGCATGCTTGATGGTTGACAGTCGATGGGCAATCACAAGAGTGGTTCGATTTTTAGAAGCAGCGTCGAGTGCGACTCTCACAATGCGCTCAGCCCGCGGGTCCAACGACGCAGTAGACTCATCCAGAAGAAGGATTTTCGGATTCGACACCACCGCCCGTGCAATTGCAATTCGTTGTCTCTGACCACCAGAAAGAAGCATTCCGCGTTCCCCAACACGAGCCTGGAACCCGCCTGGCAAGTTTGAGATAAAGTCGAACGCATTTGCTATTCTGGCGGCTTCTTCAATGAGACCAGCAACTTTCTCCTGAGGTACCTACTCAGGCAACAATCGAGTTTGGTTAGCGACTTCCATGATCCAAGAATCAGGAGGTAAAACTGCTGCGGCTGGACTTACATCCTCAAGGTCGGTCCCCAACAGTCCGAAACGAATGTTCTCGTATACCGTGGTGTTGAAAAGGACAGGCTCTTGACTGACGATCGCAATCTGTGCCCGCAGCCAATGTAGGTTCAGTTCCTGCAGGGGCCATCCATCGAGACTGATCTCGCCTCCGACAGGTTGGTAGAACCGTTCCAACAGTCCCACTAGAGTAGACTTGCCGGCTCCTGACATGCCCACGACAGCGGTGACCTTGCTGGAAGGAATAACAAGGGTCAAATCATTGAGGACGACCTTGTCTGGACGTGATGGGTAAACGTGTCGCACATTCCGAAAGATGATCTCGCCATCCACACTTGCCGGCCTCTTGCCTGTCCCTGACATAGGATCCAGGGGCGACTTCCGGTCAATGACGTGAAATATCTTTTGACCAGCAGCAGTCGCCGTTGCAAAGGCACCAAAGTGTGGGGCTACATGTCCGATAGAGACTCCAGCCAGCATGGAGGAGAAAATGACTGTGATGATCTTCGAAACCGAAATGCTGCCGTCGTGTAGCAACCGCGATCCTTCCCAAAAGGCTAGACCGTACTGAAAACTCAGGATGGCCATCATCGCGGCGATCATGAACGCCAAAAAGGCTTTACTCTTGAAATCGAAGCGCCTGACGTTGTCCAGATGCATGCCGAACTGTTTGGCCAGCCATGGCTGCGTACCAAAGGCAGTCGTGCTTCGAATAGAAGTAAAGGCTTCCTCGGCAACGGTGGCCCCGACAGCATAAGCGTCATTTGCTTGAATCTGATATTTCTTCATTCCCTTTCCGGCACCTCCCATAATGAGGATGATCAGAACGGTCACGGATAGCATGACGAGTGTCAACTTCCAGGACCTAACAAAACCGACGGCGAGGGCTGCGAAAAAGGTTGTTACTCCTGCCACGGTGAGGCCCAATTTCTGAGATATTCCGTCCTGATTTGGTTTTGGTTTAGCATCCTCTTCACGACCGAAAGACAGAACAAAAGTCACCTGGATCATATTCATGTCGCCGGTTATACGACTGACCACCTCCCCAGCACCGACACTGTCAAAGAATGCAATGTTTTGTCCCATGATAGCTTGTAGGTATGCTTCACGCGTTCTCTGCGTAATTGCTTCCCCAGCAAAGGAGAATCCTTCGATAGAGATGAAGACGGTAACGAAGGATCCAACTCCTGGTAGGCGAGAATGTCAATGAGGTACTTGCGATTGCAAGCTCAGAGAACACTTACCCAGATAAACGAAGTAAAGAGCGAGTCTGGAAAGCTGCTGGTTGAACTCTGATACTGACGTTGATCCAGCTTGAAAGCCAGTGAATTGTCCAGCCAAGGATCCAAGCACGAGCTATCGCCTCGTCAGCTTTGTCACTTTTGTTGATAGGGGGTGAAATGAGACCGCCAGGTCCTCTTACAGTCATGAGAGGTGTCACTGCTCCAGAGACAGCAGCACAGGAAGCAGCCAGGCCTAGAATGGAAAGCTCTTGTCTGGATGCATAGCGAAACAGAGTCCAGTATGACACCTTAACGATCGGCACACTTAGTTGGGAGCTCAGAATGTCGCGCTGCATACTGTTATTCTGTATCTCAACGCCATGTCCAGATTTTTCGGCCATGGCCAAATTCTTCGAGCCGCGGGTCGATCGTCGGGACCAAAGCAGGAGGAGAGGACTCTGATACCAACAAAGTCTCAATCGACTGAAAATGACAACACTCTCTCTCAAGGACTGGGTGAGGAAGGATGGTCTCGGAGAAGTGATCCGCGCAGGACATGGAGTAGACCTGCGACTTTAAGTGACCTCGAACCCCAAAACCAGTCCGGGGGTTGCTGGAGTAGCACGTCCCACCAGGGATATGGTTGAGCAACGGCGCACTATACGAAGCGCAGCCATTATTCAGAGAAGGGGCAAAACTCCTGAGCCCTTCAATAACAAAGGTATCCTTGTAGTTAGAGGCAAGTGCAGTTCGTTTTATCTCGTACTGCGTGAAGATTGAGAGGGCGGATATCGTGTGCCCCCTGATCCTCCAGCCTGGCTCCATCGATGCATGGTGTTCGCCGTTCTCATCCAACAGTGAAAACCATCGATTCCGGTCGCTTATGGGGCCCTAACCCTTTGCGAGTAACGCAGCTCCCCGACACTGGCCCGCCTCGTATTGCAGCCTATCGCATTAATCGTTAAACGAATCCTCTCGCTCGCCAAATTCTAGGCAACAAGCATGATCACTTCGACTTTCATTTATCGACTTGGCTCAAATTCAAGCCTCCGCTGTGATCATACTATGGGTTCGTCCTTTGATTTCCCTCATTGATCTTACGTGCAGTCGCATGTCTGGTTCGATAGCGGAACTTTTTTCCAAACTGTGGAGCATCATCACCACCCGTAGATGGCCTTTGCAACGGCGTCGCCGGAGGCTTTCCAGTTTCTCGACTTGTCTCCAGAGAGCGCGGTGCCTGCAGATGGATCCGGGGCCAGGCTGATTCGCAAACGGCGTCGTCATCCGAAATCAAGGCAGGGCTGCACCAACTGTAGGAAACGGAGAGTAAAGGTTCGTCCGGCTGTCCTGGGTGCCCTGTTGGTTTAGCTAACGTACTTGTTTCGGTGAACAGTGTGACGAGGGACGTCCGAGATGCGGCAATTGCCAGAGGAGGGAGGAGGCATGCAGCCTTGAGAGCCTGGTCCTGGCCTCAAGAAGGAAGACACTGCCCTCGCAAGAGGCGCATATTCGCCCTGCTGTAGGGAACAGCCTCTGTTCGCATATCAACATGCTGCAGATGAAACTTCTCCACCATTTCAATACCGTTACAGCCGAAACCCTCATCTTTGACGCATCCATCTGGCGTAGCCAAGTGATCGCTTTGGCATTGCAGGTAAGTTTTCGTCTCCCAAGAAGAAAAAGCCGAATGGTCTTTTGAAAAGATTTCATCCAGCATGAGTTCCTTATGCACGCTGTGCTCCTTGTTGGCGCCAAACATTTGTGTTTTCTCAGTCCCGGTAATTCCATGTATCGATCAGCGTCTCTGCTGCATCTTTCAGAAACATTGCGTTCGTTCCGACACGCTCTGACACAGCCGATATCTGCCTTAAATGCTGACGCATTTATGGCAACTTCGACGCTCCTCGTCCACTATGCATGGGCAACGCATGACGATGCCGTCCGCGTGCAAGACGACGCCGAGGCAGTACCATCACCGGATTCAACTCTGAATCTCAGCATGGATCCGTTGTTTACTTTGTCCCAAGGGCTGCGAATGGTCTTTATGAACTCTTACCATTTCATCTGGAAGAACGAAAGCATATTTGCTGCCTCAGCTCGTCATCGCCCTCGCGAGTCCCTTGAACGGGCTACACTTGGACACTCTAGGGCTTCGCAGGACTTGGAAATCCTCATCTCCAAGGCATACTGTAAGCAACGCGCAACTTCGGGGAAACCCATCATTGTTTGTCCGAAGTCTGCGTGTCTAGACGCGGTGATGCGATTCTTTCTTGATCTGCGCACGGGTCATGAGAAGGCGTTCACAGGACTAGAACATCCAGATGAAGATCCTGAAGAGGATCTTGAATTGACCGGCTTCCTAGATGCGACCGCTCGATTGGTGCTTCTCTTGGGGCTCTTCCGACGGCAGTCGCTCGTCACTGACACGGATCTCTCGATAGAGGCTAACCTGGCTCACTGCCCAGGACGGACCGCTAGTGTACTCGAACGAGTTGCAACTCGCGACTTCCCGCCGCTTTCGGACCTCGCACGCTACATTTTTGCTTTTCCGACGCGATCGACCGACTGTTTCATCCGACTCGTCCAACAACACCATCCATATGCGCTTCTCGTTTTATTGTTTTTCTACCGTGCTGTCACCCTACTCCTTCCACAGCAACAGTGCTGGTGGAGCCGCAGGCGTGCTCAGGCTGTCCCATCGGCTATCGAAAGCGCCTTAAGAGCACGCGGCGACGTCGATTTGGACACCATCCTGCAAGAGGGCCACAGGGTGCTTGAGGGTGGGCCAGGAGGAATTTCGAGTGGCGAGAATACCCCTGCGGTCAACTCGCGGAGGCTTCTTGGAGTGGATGGCTGGGATGAAACTTGGGAGCGGACCCGATGTGTCTTGGAAAAGTTCGGTTGGAGAAAAGGACACTGGTATTCTGAAGAGTAGGCGATATCTTCGCGGAACATCTGAGTGGCGGGTCGTTTGACAATCCACCTCCGTACGAACATTGAGACTTTTTGGTACTGTGAATGTGGAGAGTCGAAAAGAGCAAGCCAGGTGGCCAAAACTCAGTGATATTTGAGCTTCAGGCCAACAGTCGTCATTTGACCGGGGTGTTGAAATCCGGGAGGTCGCCCTTTCACACGGGAGGCGATTAACGACGTAGTACCATCGGAAGGGGCTTTACCAAGTCCTAGTCCTTTTCTGAATTGCGATTTCCTAGAAATTCGGCGACATCGCCAGCCTATTTTGGTAGGTTCATGGATGCGCCGCCTAATTTGCAATTTAGACAACGAAGCTGAAGGGCTTCTACCGGGGTAACACTTGAACACCTGGAGCAATATCCAACTATGGGTTCATCCTGGAAATGCTGGAGCAGGTCAATTGCAAATGCTGGCACAGACATACAGGTCTCGCGCCACAGGTGTTTGATGCCAGGCCATTTGGATGGATCATCGAAACTCTCGTAATGGCGTCGAGCCTGATCTATGACCCGAATACGCAGACCGCGCATCTGTTCGGGAGTGTGGAGGTACACGGTATGAATAGACCTCAAGAAGGCCGAAGGATCCCAATATTTTAAGGCCGCTTCACAATACTTGTCGATCGCCCTTGCTGAGAGCATTTCGATATCGTACTTGATGGCGATGGCAAAGACTTGGGCGTGTCGTGTGAATTTCTCGTCTTTGAAATCTGTGTAGTCCGCTCGATAGAAGAACTCGACCATTCTTCTCACAACTTCAATGTCGTCTTCTGCGAGGTCGACGGTGGCGTTTTGAGACTCCTACTCATTCAGTTGGACCTTGGGACCAGTCTCATTTCACACAAAGACGCAGCAGGGGCACATACCTTCCACGGCCCGCTACATGCTGTGTTGAAAAATGGTGATTGAGTGCAGACCACGACTTTATGCACTTTAAAATTTTCACCGGCACAGGTGATCGTCAAGTCTGTGAAGGCGCCACTATGGTACACCCTGAAAATTTGAGCTAGGTAGATTTTGCGAGAGAAATTACGTACGATGAGAGCCATTGGGGGCATGTACCCTTGGCGGCGCGACTCATCTCCTCGGAGGGTGTTGAGGACACCACAGTGATGACAGTGAGATGGATGTGGGTTGTACCTCTGCTGATTGCCGATTGATTGAGTGACTAATTGAATCGTATACACCGTTAGACGGTCGATTCTCGCACAGCCTCAAGCAGACTCCAATTCAGGTCAATAATGCTCCCACTCTGTCATGCGTGTTCAGGTTGTCACTCAACTCGAGAGCGACCCTCGTGCTAATCTGCTAATCAGCCTTCAACGAGGGGATGTTGATTCCTCGCTCTACGGTCAGGGAATACTCTTTTCCTTGAGACTACGCCTAGCAAGGAGGGGAAAATCTCTAATCGCAGAGAGTTCTGTAGACTGTATCAGTAACAATGACTCGCGTTGGTGAAGGAGGTCGAGGTCGAAGTCGAAATCGATTGAGCGGAGTCAGGAGCGAGTTTGACAGACTCTATACTCCTCGGTGAGAGATGCCCAGTTCAAGAGGTAGAGGTCATTACGAGTTTGTAAAGTAATTTAACTCAAGTGACGGTCGTGACCAGTGACGGATCAAGACTCTTCAATCCTTGACCTCTCGGCCGCGAAAAGATGATTGAAGACTACTTCTGGCTCGGGTGAGGCTAACATACGTGTTAAATATGCCAAGGCGCTAGGAATTACGGCTACAAAAGCAGCCTCCCATGCCACGTAGATTTAACTGGTTCCAATACACATTTACGTCTCATTTCACGTACGGAACAGAACCGGATTCCTTGAGAACACGTACCCAGTAGCCTGTACCGAGTACCCTGTACAAGACGCGTAGTGAATTAGGCGCGTCGAGTCCCGCCCTGGCCGCCCAAAATTGACAGGGCTGTACTAGCCTTATTAGGCTAGCTGATTATGTCTTGGCACCAGCGGCGGTTTGTCACACATCAAGCGCCCATTTAAACCCTTGCAAGGGTAGATTTTCTCGATCAGTCAATCAACCTATTCCTAACCCCCGATATGGTCAACACCATATTGATGGACACATGTTCCAAATATCTGAGGCATGCCGATGGCCGGTGATGGGCCCATCTTGGCGCCTAGAAGACGGATAAAACTTGCACCGACCTCACTTACGACTCGCCCAGCCGTGGATTTGATAGTTGTTGAGAAATGCTTCGAGAAATCCACCCCAGCAGCAAATCCAAGACAACTCCATAAAGCTCAAGCTACCTCACCTCGTGCTATGAACCCTTTTAGCTCCATCTCTTGGCCGTACAGTGTCACTTTGAACGGCCGTGCTACAATCACATACTCGAAGTTCTTGACCATACCGGCACCTGCGAAGTACTTACGCATATCCTCTTCGGTGAACCCGTGCTTGTTGATGGTTCGCAGTGCTTTCTTCGCTTCCTCAGGTATGTCTGGGCGCAACTCAGGCCTCTCTTCTTCGAAAACCCTGTCCAATACCACGCAAACGCCTCCCGGTCGCAACGTTTTGGAGAGTTTACACAGAAGTCGTTCTGGATTAGCGACGTGGTGTAACCCCATACAGATGGCTACAACGTCAAAACCAGAGAGCTCTGGATCGGTGGGTTGTGGCTCTGCGAGCAGATCTAACTGGAGCGCATGGGCTTTGGTAAGAGAGAAGCCTTGTCCTTCCGCCCATTTATTGTACTCAGCAACCATGTTTTCGGAGAGGTCGAGCCCTAATGCTTCATCGACATAGGGAGCCAGGGCCTATACGCACAAGCCAGGTTGTGTGAGCGCTTTCTGTTCTGTCATCCTAATGCGGATGGAATACGTGCCTTGGAGACTGTACCAGAGCCACAAGCATAGTCCAGCAGCTTTATTGGCTTCTTGTCATTCTTCGATGTGTCGTCATCCCCCAGCCTACTGCTAATCCAGGATCTTCTCTCCTTCAATTCCTCAATGACAGCCTGTATGAGAAGAGCGAAGTTGTTCTGGTGGGTTGAAGCGACCTGACTAGAAAACCCGGGGCTTAGCCATTGTCCAATGAGTTCACCAAGATACAGTCATACTCGAAATGCTCGCGATTGCGCGCTGTGATATCATCCATTTTCTTTCCGTGTGTAAGATTTCAACTAAGTTTCAAGTTCAGGACGACTTGTAAGTGCTTCCTGCCTTCGTTGATTCACTTGATGTTTGGACAACGTCGACTAACATCAAAGCCGGGTTTTCGCGGATATATAATAAGGGGAAGCCTACCCAGACAGACAGAGACGAGACTGTCTGAGAGTCTTTGAAGATTTTTTTTAACGAGGCAGAAGTGACGATCCTCGTCTCTTTCAACGTCGCATTCACAAGGTGAAATGCCCCAGGTTCTCTGTTGCAAGGTTACAAAAGTCCCCGGGTGTAACCTCACTTGGGAATACGTGCCCATAATTCGGACTTCATTGTGAAGGATTACAGAAGCACGTGCTGGGAATATCAGAGGATATCAAGCATGTATTCTTCTTGTCGACATTGAGAGGCAGAACTGCTGATGGAGACTTTCGGAGCGGCGACTTTCGAAGTAGAGGCTTTCGAGACGGAGACATTTTGAAAAAGTCCGAACTGGTTACAAGTTTGGTGGGCAGACACGCTAGCGAAGAAGCTGGGCTGGTGGCTACGAGGCTAGCTAATGAATTTCCGCTAATAAGAACGGAGCGAGGTAACAGAGTCGTTGTTTTCTTGAACTCATCTAATGTATACCAGCACTACAAATGTCCGACTAATCCGGCCAACGATCCGAAGGCAGCTCTTGGATCGCCGTTGTATCTCTTTTCGGCAGTCTGCCAGTTAATCACGTCCCAGATCTTGGTGAGGTATTCCTTCTTGTTGTTGAAGTATTGTATATAGTACGCATGCTCCCACATGTCAACACCCAGCACAATCCCCTTTCCCCCTTTAGGCAAGTCCTGATCCTTGCTCGTGGTTAACTCCAGTCCTTTTGTCTGCGGATCCCGAACAAGCCATTGCCAGCCAGACCCTTGTATCGCCAAAGCAGAGGACTCAAAGGCCGCCTTGAAGGAGTCGAAGCTGCCCCACCGTTTGGTGATGGCATCGCCGAGGGTAGGAGCAACGGCAGAGAGGTTATTGTTCCCGCTTGAAGCAGGAGCAAGCGACTCCCAGAAGAGGGTATGGTTGATATGTCCACCAGCATTGAAGTTAATGGCGGATTGAAGCTCGAGTTGTTTCACCAGATTGTTGGAAGAGGCTGCTTCTGCTTGTGCGCCGAGCGCCGCATTCAGATTGGTGATGTAAGTTCTGTGGTGTCTGTTGTAATGAAGATCCATTATTTGCCCTGATATGGAGGGTTCCAGCGCCTGTAATGGAGAAAAGACCTGGTCAGCACACGGTCCCTGGTCCAAAATAGTCTTTAAGTGAGGGGCAAAGTGCGAATTCGAACTAGGTCTATCGAGCACCCACATCGAGGCTGTACGGAAGCTGAGGTAGCTCGTAAGTCACTGGCATCTTGTTCAGACGGGCGTATGATAGCTAGGTCCTATTCTAGTCAACGGCGGCACGGTTGGATGCTGTAAGGAGTTTTCGAAAATAGCAGACAGGATGACCCCAAAAGTGAGAGGAAGAATGCAGCGAACCCCCAGTACTTACGTCCCTTATAAACGCCAGATAGTACCAATATAGCCAATAACATCAAGGGCGCCAGGATCTTCATCCCAATGCAGCAAGCGCAAATTTGCTCAACATGCGGGTGGATCCGATCTGAGCACGTTTTGGCACCACGACGTGTCTGGGCAATTGAGGACCTTAAGTTTGTGATTCGCTCAGAAAAAAGGCCACAGGTTCACGGTGAGGTTCCGAACAGCTTCCACTCCGCGAATATGCCGGGCCAATGTTACGATCAAGATGTTCAGAAAACAATGTCCAACCTCTTCATATCTGTGGTCGCCTCTGTGTACTTCGTACGTAGGTCGGCTCCCTCACCTTCTATAGACAATCCACGAGTTCCATCCTCTCAATCTCTGACACGAAGCTGTGCAAGAGGCGACCACCGTCAAATACCTAGAAGCCATGTGCTCCCAGCCGAGCCCCCGGGATGCCCCTCCAGGTGACCTGGTCGCCATCCTGCACCGTATCCGCGATGACAACCAAAACCAAAAAGTTAACAACACGTGCTGGTGCCGCTTATTGCTCAGCAAAACGTGTCGAGGTGAGATCCTGGGAGAGCTAAGATGCGAGGGACCAAGTAATTCGAAAAAGTTCCTGGGCCAGAAGTTCAACGTCACGATCTGGTAAGGCAATCCGCCCTGTGCAGTATTCATGCGGCTTGTTCTGGAGTACTTGCCTCTACTTACTGTTAGTGGCTGATGTCTTGACTCATGCCAGGACGTATGCAAACGAGCACGCCCAATCCGTGCCTGCTCGAAGATCTCACAACCCTGTCTTTGTACGCTTTGCGGTAATTGTCGGAGCATCTCCCGTGGTTGTCTGCGCCAGTTCTCGTGATAGCCTCGACGGCCTTGGGTGCGGAGACTTTGACCTCACGGCCAACGATCGAGGCATTGTCGGCAGAGAAGTAGATGTTGCAAATGAGCAAGGCCAGGTCCTCGGAAGAGGTATAATCGGTTGGAATTAGAGGCCACAACGCCGCCACGGAACAGAGACGCCGCGAATATGTTCTCAATACTGGTGCCATGCACTTAAAGTACAAGTTTGTGATTGAATGAGGCAGGCTGCCTAGTATCCGCTGTCGTAATGAAGACATCGTGGCCCTGCATGACACGATTTAACATCTGGAAAAGAGACATGTTAACTGAACACATGAAAGGGATACGTGTTTCCCGGTGTTCGTTGTGAAGATAGAGAGTTCTAATTCTCTGAAAGTCCTCTCATATTCCACCACCAGCTGCTCTGTTTCCAGAGCTCACCGTCACCCCCGTCCACAAGCATCTTCCACTTCCTGAGAAACCAAGGCGCGGCTTTCCAGCTTCGCATGTCCCACGGCTGCCTGTCGGAACTTGTCGCCCAGCATAGCAGGGCCCTATTGGTGCAGATGTCGTTCTTGAAGTCGGCCAGGTTGAAAGTGTGTGGCATGAAGGTGACCATCATGATAGCCCTCGCCCGTATGAGTGGAAACGGAATGAGGTCGAGGAAGGGATGGTGGGGGTAGAGGATCTGGGCCAGCGTCGGCCGCAGATCGGCAGGGATCCATGAGTAGGATGCGCTTCCAGCAAGAATTGAGGGTCGTCCTGGGGGGCGGCAGGTCGGTAGAAGGGAGACATGTAGTCGACGGTGAGAATTTGGGCCAAGTCCAGATGTAATCTCAGTGCATTGTCGATAATGGCTGTCAACGTCGTGACAGGGGCGAACTGAATAGTCATAGTAATCCGACCTGCCAGTATATTCCACGTCCCCTCGGGGTCTTGAATATTTTCAGTGTTATTGCCACACACTTCCACGGGAAATAGATCTGTACTTTGGGAGACTTGTAACGGCATGTCCCAACCAATGGGTGTCAGCAATAAGCGGGAAAGAGATAGCGCAGGCGATGGCGACGTTAACAAGTTTAGCTCCAGCGTGTCTGATATAGAAACTGTGGCACTGGGAGGATTTGCCGTCGCTTGTCTGGATGCACGTCCGAGATTGTTGATATTGTTTGCTGGAATCGAACTTTTGGACGCCAGAGACGTCATACAGTCAAGAACACTATGCTCCATGATAGCAAATTCTGGTCGCTGCTGGCATCTTTGGTCCGAGGCATGAGCCAGTAAGCCGCATGAAGGCCTGCCCAGGAAGGGTTCATATGGTCTGAGCTCGCTGAGGCGAGGGGTGTCATTAACAAGTTTCTTGGCATCGCTCTGTCGAGCCTCTTTGATCCTCTGTCCTATAGATTTGTCATCAGCCTGTAGTCGCACAGGCAGATGGCGCAATAGTAGGATTGATAGGGCCTACGGTACGCTTTCTGTGCCACCCGGTTCTGTTCCCTGCGTGCTGCTGTGATGGTTCGTTTCCGACGACACCCGTCACTCTTAACGCATGCTCCTTTGGAATGTTGCATGATGAAATAACCCAAGGTCTGCGCGCTATGTGATTGTCGAACAACGACCTTTAAAGGATGAGAAGCAGGGAGCAAAAGCGGGGAATGGATCGGGGCCGCAAGTTCAACCGCAAGTTCGTACAACCGCAAGTTCGCTTAAATGCTTGGCAGAAACGAACGCAAGCCAAATTTGCTGGCGTATAGAAAACGCTAGGGAGGAAGAGGTGGAAGATGTGCCAGAGACCCCTCCGCCATCGACCTTGACTAGGCCAACACGCCTAGTGCCTCAGACGCCAGATCGGCCACGGCCGCGCCGCAGTCCTTCGCCTGAGGACCCTCCTGAACTGGCCTTGCCACCATCGATAGCGCCGCCTACGATCGGTAGTGGCGGAGGTAAACGAGTCCGCAAACGGACTACTAGGCTAGTTGAGGCTAGGCAACAAGGCTTCCTGCCTAACTCGCAGGACGACTGAGAGATCAACACCCAGGTTGGCTATACAAACAGGCGGCGACGAGGTCAGGCGGCGGCGAGGTCTAGGAGGAGGGATACGGAGGATGGCAAGCGGAAATTTCCACTAGCTAAATTAGGTGTAATTGGCTTCTACCAAGCACTAAGCGAACTTGCGGTTGTACGAACTTGCGCTTGAACTTGCGGCCCCGATCCATTCCCCAAAAGCGGGTGCGGCAGCCTCGCCTTAAAAAATCCTTGTTGAACTCCAAATGTCCCACTCGACCCACATACTTCCGCGTGGCTTACCAGCTTTTGTCCAATCACAGTCTTCCAATATGGGCTTTTAAACCAATCACGGTTTGTGGAGTCGATTAACCACTCCACCTCATTCGCGCTGTTGCTTGGGCACAACAGAACGATGCTACCAAAGTATATACACGATGTACAGGTATTTATTGTTCTTTCTAGTGACTAGGAGAGCTCCTTGCGAATATAAATTAGGGAGACGCAGGATCTCTTCTTCCCACTTCAGGATGACCTGGATTGCTGTTATATTTCCGCAGCAGCAATAAGGTCTTACTTCAACCACTTCCTCATTAAGATCCGTTCCCTCCAGATTGTGTAAATCACAACCATGGCCTCTTCTTCCCTCAAGGTCATTGCTGTGGTTGGTGCCACCGGCAATCAGGGCTCATCTAGGGCTCGAACATTTCGCTCCCTCCCAGGCAGGCATGTCCGCGCAGTCGCTCGCTATCTGTCGTCGCAAAAGGCTGGGGAACTGAGGGTGCTCGGAGCAGAGCTGGTTCGGGCCGATTTGTCTGATATTGCTTCGCAGGTCCTAGCTTTCGGCAATTCCCACGCAATATTCCTCAACACGGATTTCTGGGAAACCTATCGCTCCGTTGGCACCGGCTCCGGACTGACCCCATTAGCGTGCAGCCGCGCCGCATACGAGAAAGAGGTCTTCTACGGCAAGAATGCTGCTATTGCTGCGGCCTGCGTCCTATCGCTGGAGAGACTTGTCTACTCTTCCCTCGCGTCCATCAAGGCAGCTTCGAATGGAAAGCACAGCAGGTCGTACCATCCCGAGTCCATGGCGGCGATTGTGAGCTACATCGAGGCTGAAGAACCTGCGCTCGCCAAGAAGATGTCTATCGTCATCCCCGCCGGGTACAGCACCAACCCAATGTTCCGTCCAACTCTGGATCCGAAGAGTGGACAGTATATCGTTGTGACAGCACTAGATCGCGGTTGCAAGATGCCCATCTTGGATCCCTCAGAGGCGATGAGACCTTTTGTCCGCGCCTTGATTGAGGACGAAGAGCCCGGCACTAAGCTCCTTGCTTACAACGAAGACAGCTTCTTGTCGTTCGAGGAGATCGTGCAGGCCTGGACAGATATGACAGGGAAGAAGGTACAAATTGTCAGGATGAATCCCAAGGATTTACACGAGCAGTTGAATTTGCCCTGGGAGCTCCTCGACGCTATAAATTTTGTGAACGAACATGGTTACGATTATGTTCTGGCAAGGGAGGGAATCATTCAGCCGCGTCAGTTGAGCAACCCTCCGAAGACCAAGTCATACAAAGTCTGGTGGAAAAGGAAGCCCATGGAAGCGCTACTAGGCTGAACTTGGAAAGACTATCAACAATCGAACAGACTGATCAACACTAAGCTCATAGATGCAGTTTCCCCACTACTTTCCTTGGGGGAGATTCATCTTGTAGATTGGTGCTAGATTTTCCGACACCTCGTGTATAGACGGACAGCACCACTTTCCCACTGCGCCCACTCTGCCGCTTCAGCAAGCGGCCTCGTTCTTGATTCCCCTTTTTCGACCGCCGCTTTGTGGTCGTCATCGTATAAAGCCGGATCTCATACATTAGAGCCGGCATCTCCCAACCTCAGCAATCGAACTCGCTCAAAGGCTCAATCGGGCTCACCTGTATGGTATGGTGTCATGAGATAAGATCTAGAATTTCTCCTTTCCATTTGATCCCAACTACCTCCGGACAAGAAGATTTCAGGATCGTCTATTGTTTGCTGTCACTCTATCTCATCCGATAAGACCTGCCAAATTTCTTCCGAGCACGGGTGGTCATAACAGTTGTGAGGCCAAAATCCAAGTAAGATTCCCTTCGTTTCTGTGACCCCCCGAAGGCCGCGGCGATGCTTCTCCCATCTGAGTCTCTCGATTGCCTCGGCGAGCTCGCTAGCGCTATCTCTCGGGGCTCCCTCGTCTTTCACCACGACGAACGAACGGACTTGTTTCCGGTATTGCACAAAGAGGGTATGTATGAACAAGACATAAAACCACATGCTCTCCTGGCCCAGAGTGATCGCGCTGTTTTCAAGGATTTTGATTGAATTCAAAAGCCTTCGTTGCGACACATTCGCGTTTAAGTCCCAGTATCCAAGTTAAATCTCGGAAACCGAAGTTATGTGGCCGATGAGCAGCCATTGGCAGCGCAGAGCTAGTGCCATTGCGCAGCTCAGCGCATGATATCGGACGAGCTCGGAGCCTAAGCTTTTCGACGATAGCGCCTCTGTATGGTCCACGGCGACATTGTTCAGGAGTTTCGAGGTCTCCACACGGTAAAAATGCAACCACCTCTTTATTTCATGCTCCACATCGCGATTTTCAGCCGTCCATGCCGACTTTTTGGCAGCCCCGTCAATGAAACCAACATCTCTGAGTCTTTCCAAGATCGCAAACAGCTTGATGTTGAAGCGGAGTGAGCTATCGACTAGGAGCGTCTCCGGATAATTCTGTGCGGAAACGGTTGCATATCCGTTCGCTAGTCTCAAGGCAGCGGTAGAGAAACACTGTCGCCATGGACCAGGATCGTGATCGCCTTCCGGGGATCGAGTTCGTTGACCTAGTATAGCCGCTGTCCAGATGTCACTTCTGCCAGCAGATATATGAGCGTGCCCCCTCGATCTCGTCATGTCGCCGAAGAGGTGATGTAGTGCTCTCTGGTGCACATCTGCGGCTGCGATATCTTCAAGGTAGAACTCACAGGCTATCAAGAGCCAGATCAAAATCAGGGTAGGATATGTCCGGAGCTGGTCTATCGAAACACCGCGAAGGCTCGAAATTGCGACTAATTTGTGTTTGGCGGCGTAGGCGGTGTAGGGCTCGTTTCGTTCTTTGCGCCCACCAGCACAAATAGAGGCACGCAGAGCGATGAGAGCATGGAGCAAGGCTTTGTTGGACAACGACAGTCGAAGATCTGAAACCCAACCCTCCGCTATATCTCGGGCAATGTATTTGTCTGAAGTGGCCGAACCACCAACGAACAAGCTCCCGAACAAGCCGAAAGAGTGTGCGAGTTTAATCAAGTGCGAGTCTCGAGGAGATAAAGGCAGTGCTGCTACATCGAAAGGATTGTTGCTGTCGAGAAACTCTGCGTACCGGAACAAAGCCAACCTCAGAGAGATTGGCCGACTTGTGGTCCATTTTATCATAAGTACGTCTACCATACCATCGACAGAGACTCTCAGAAGCAGACGTTTCCACACTCTTGTCCGCACCTGTGACGGCAGAATCATTATCTCTCTTGTTCGTGCCTATGAGGGTAGGGTCATTCAGTCTCTTGTCGGTAGTAGTCGAGCACGAGCCTTGCTCCCATCTCGAGTGGAATTGGGTTCGAAGGAAGGTTCCTGCTCGAGCGTCTGGTATTGTTTGTCCAAGGCCCTGAGACCTTCGACGTATGTGCGAAACACGTGATGCATGGAAAAGGACTACTTGCGATTGATGCTCCGTCGGGCGCCACGACTTCCCGCCGCAATTGATAAATGTGACAGCGACCTTTGGCTGCCTCACGGATGCTGAATGGAAAAGTCGTGGTCGAGATGGAATGGGATGCCCCTTGCCCAGTCCAGGCTCAATGTCTCCCATCCCGAACGCGCATGTGACAGGGTCTTGTTCATTTTTTGTACCCGTAGAACTACTCAGTGAAGACACAATGTCATAGCGCTAACCCTCAAGGAGAACAAAGGCTGGAGGCTTCAGGGTTTTGCAGCTGAGTTCGACCTATACTCAGGGCCTTTTTCGAGGGTTAGACGTCTGATCCTCTGAGAGATTCGGCTCTCTAGGAATCGCCGTTAAGAGGGAATGGTATGATATCTCCCGGCCTTTGACAAATAACACCTTCCCCGGACAGCACCCGTCATTCTCCCCAACTGGGGCCGGATACCGTCAGGACAATCTGAGGATGTGAGAACAATGCACTGTCCAGCAGTGATAGGCAGGCTGTACAAGTCCCGAGTGGGCGTTAGCTTATTCATATCTCCATGGCTGAGAGTCACGCGATACTTCGAGGGTGAGGCTGTTTTGTGTGATTGTACTTGTAGAGGTGTTCACCTGTTGATCTAGACTGTACTGCCTAAGTCGTCCGTTCAGAGACATTTCCTCCAACAGATTCGGGATTCATCGGTGACCATGCGTGCCCGTAACTCGTCAGATCCAAGGGGTTGCAAGTCTGTCCGGCCTTTATGCTCAGCAAGCTCAAGGCCCGTTCCCTTCTTCCTGGTCAAAAAAAGATTATTTGGTCAAGTCGTAAAGAAAGGTCAGCACAGTTTGGAGACGCATAAACAGTGGCTGTCATACACACACCGTGGTGTCCAGCGGTTCGCGAATCCTCCGCAAGTTTGGCTAAGTCTTAGACAATATGGCCGAGGGGCGGATTGACCTGGTCGGTGGGTTTCCACTAATCGTGTCTGTATAATGATTGCCGTTATTGGAACAAGGGTTTAAAGTTTTCTTGATCTAATGCGATCGAACAAAATGTTCATTCAACCGCAACCATTGCAGAGAAGTCGGCTATGAACGCTTTACGCTCTGCTGCGACAACTGCACCAGAATCCTTCCATGCACCAACGGAGGTAAGCCTGACATGCACAGAGACTAATGCAGATACGTACGTCCAGGCCTACCATCAAGAAGTTCCGAGAGCGCAGAATGGAGGAAGCGCCCTGCGTCTCGCGAAGAGAGCCTGACTTCTATCGGGCATCAAAGAAGCCCACATGAACCAGGGTGGCAAGCTTTGACTGAGGTATGCAGCGTTAGGAATGAGCTGTCGATCGGGCTGTCCGAAGCGTCACCACGCTCATGTAGGCGTGGGGGCTCCGACACTTTCTGCGGGAGCCAGGTGGCGTCCTACATTCTTGATTCTTTGCAAAATGTTATGGATGTGTCTGATCGGAGCCAGACAGCAGATGCTTGATCCTGGAAACAGTACAAGATTCGTTACAATTAGTGAGCCGCGAAGAGATATTGGGACTTGGCATAGGTAAAGAAGCAGAAATATTCTGATGCTCACATTCTCTCAGCCTACATGCACCTGCCACCCAGGCCAGAGTGTACATTCATAAGGCTCCAAAGGCATTATCTTCCTCATCTTCCTTTTATCCCTGTAAAGTGGTCAATTCCTGTTCGCCTAGGCTGCCTAGCATCCCTTCGTGAGAAGAAACTGTTGATATCGCAAATCTCTTTTGGCGGGGAGAGTTTCCTGATTTACGCAGAGAACTGTGTTTGACCGAGCATGGTTCTGCTAGGAATGCGACTCATTGATTGGATTCTGTCCATCAAAGGGACGGCCAGAAAGTCCAGCTATCTTAAATAATGATAAACCGGGGCGAAGCTGGGCACAAAGAACAAGCGAAGATCCCTGACTTCAAGCCCCCTTTTCGAGTAGTTACCGCTTGTCTCGTACTTCATAGTGCGCCATATAGTACTATCAGTGTTAGGCAAGTCCCTCAGAACCATCAGTGCGCTCGTTTTCCATCTTATCCCTGACAGACCATCAGTTCTCACCTCTGAATTTCTCACCAAGTGGCAACCAAAGCAACTTTACAGTCCCGATGATAAGCGTGACAGGCACAATCACATTTTGCAAATCACCGGGATGATCTCTCAACCACCATCCGATAAAGACCCAGCCTCCAGCGGTGATTACGAGCTACCATGTGGCAACCATAGCCGCGGAGATGCGGACTTGGGTATGCAGGCCCCAGATTGTTTCCCTCGAGAAATGCGTCTGCAGATTGAATCGCCGGCTACATCTTGGCAGTTTGAACAAAGTGTCGGCATTAATGATATATTCTTGTGGAAAGAGGGTGTGGAAACGGTCTTGCCATTCGTGTCTCCTTAGCGGTGGACGATAAGGCTTGGGTATGGCTTTGGGTTATATCTGTAGGTGGTCTCGTCAGAGGGGGGCATCTCGTGACCAACCGTTCCAAGGCAGTTGACGTGATATTTTTCGAACTTGCTGGCACGGCAGAAAGCAAATTGGCGAGGGCCAAGGTGGTAGCGAAGGCGACCCCGGAGCGAAGTGTACGTAGGTTTGAATTTCTTGGAGAAATCTTCGTCGCTCATTCCAGGCTTCGTTTCGATCGCTTCTACTCGAATTCCCTTCCTACGAGGAACACAGAGCAGAACCCATGATTCGTGGCTCAGTGGATCACGCCCTTGTTGTTGGATATCGCTAGCGGATCCATCGAGTAATGGGTGCCGGTGATAGCCTCGAACTGGAGGTATAGGTCGAAGGAGGATCTTGGAAGCTGCTGGAACATTTGGCGCTTGGATCGATGGCTGTGGTCTATTCAGAGATTCGTGGCTTCGACCTCTCGATCTTGTTTTAGTTGTAGACAGACGAAGGGAGGTTGCTAGTCGCCTGGATATGTCGATAGACTGCTCACTTCTACAGCTGCATCTCCAATTCACCCTAACTTTTCTCCGAGCAAGTGGTTTTTTCGGCGGCGTCTATGCTCCCTAGAGCCATTGTTCCCCGCTATAACTTTCCAATGCATTCTGAAAGCGGTCGTAGTAGGACAGTTTTATGCGGCGGGAAAACGAATACGAACTGGTTAATGAGAACGGAATGTCAGTGCCAACCTCTGATCTCCATTCTTCCTGGGCCTTCTGGTAGCTAGATTGAGGGTATGTTTTAGGGTTTTCCTGCAACAAGTTTTTCAACATTTTACCCATGACGGCTGTGAGTAAGAGTAAAGGTAAAGAATGAAGACGACGTGCACAATAAGGCTGTCGAGTACCATACACAGCAGTCTAGCGACCTCGAATCCGACGATTGCAGCTGCAGCCAATCCCAGGCTGGGAACAATGTGGCACTGCATGTCAGGCTCAGACTAAGCGGATTCGATTCAGAGAAGGGACTGCTTCCATATCGCCATTGGGTAGAAGACGTATGCCCTTAGCGACATGTTTGAGAATGTGTCCTGAGCGTATTGACCGCGTTGGGTGATCCTAGGATACAAGTAGGGTCGAGGTCGGCCTCGGCCAAATCGGGACGTTTCAGACGTCATAGTATTACTCGGTGGTCGCACTAACAATAATCCGTCAACACCTCGACATCCCATTCCGTTCCCCGTTTATTCAAGGAAATTACATGACCAACCTGCGCGGTCTCATCATCAAATTTTCGCAGATCGTCTAGCGTCCTAGACACCCCGGCTTTCCCTGGACAGCATCGAAACTGTGGGCACTGATGCCTTTGGACTACAGGTAGTCCCAGACGCGGCTCTAAGGGCCTACGAAGTCCATCCTCTCCCTTAAAGCCCGACTGCCACCGCAAAGATGTCTACCAGAGTCAGCGCAAATGGGACTGTGGGTATGCCACGCATCCAGGACGTCCTTCGCACCCCCGAAGACCTCGAAAAGATCACAGGCCTGAAAGCAGAAATCAATCGCAAAAAGGGCGACGTGGACGCCAGATTACGAGAAGGATTGCAGGAACACCTGGACACTACACAGAATGGCATGTCAACTCTATCCGAAGGCCAGAAACTTGTTGGACAAATTAAAGAGGAAATGAAGACCATCTATGATCTCTGCGAGCAAGCCCAGGCTATTCGCAAGAACTTCCCTCAGCTGGACTATCTCGCCAAAGTCCATCGTAATTTCGAAGCAACCCGGGCAATGCGGGCAGCTCTGGATAGCTTCGAAAGAGATTGTTCCTATGTCCAAAGGCTGCTGGAAGACGACGAGAACGATCTGTACAAACAGCCAAATCTCCTTGAAGCTTACTTGCGCCTCACCCGACTGCGCGACTTTCGAGATGAAGCATTGGACCAGATTCGACGAGCGAGAGACTCAAGTTTGGAGCAGACATTGCTCGACTGGTTTCAACAGCTGGACAACATCGTTGAGCTTTTTGATGAGCATATTGGTTTCGTTTGCATGAACCTCATCGACCTGGTTCAACGGTCTGATGATACTAGCATCATTGTAAGACTAGCCATCGTGCTTGCGTCAGAGGAGAAGAACGATGATCGAGTTCGCGCGCTCCAAGATGCCCAGAAGGATCATCAAGACCTTGTGAGCAAATTCACATCTTTCAACATCGGACCAAAAGCGACCCGCGGATACAAAGAAAAATTCCTGCAAGCCATCGAAAATGTTGCAGAAGGCAAATTTCAACAGACGCGGCAAGAGTTTCAAGAGGATCCTTCCAAACTTAAAAGCCAGACTAGGTGGTTCTTTGAAGACATTAACGCTGTCAAGCAAGGGATGCAGAATCTCTTCCCCAAAAAGTGGAAAATTCTCAACACCTATGTGGATATCTACCACAAGCAGATGCACGGCTTTCTCATATCTTTTGTGGACGCCGAAGACCTCCGACCGCCGCAGATGCTGGGTATCGTCCACTTCATTGAGGATTATTACAAGAGAATGAAGAAGCTGGGCGTCTCAGAGGCTCAGCTGAAACCCCACGTTCTCGATTCTCGTGAAGGCGACCTTATCCGTGACTACAGAAACATCATCACTAAGGCCCTCAACTCTTGGATTGACAGAATGTATGTGGCCGACAGGAAGAACTTCCTGTCTAAAACCCCCGATGCCATCGAACAAGACCCAGACGGACATTTCAGAACCAAAACACTTGGCGACATGTGGCGTATGCTGCATGAACAAGCCGTTGCAGCAGGCGACTCCGAACGTGAAGACGTCGTTGAAGGTGTTATGAGCGCCATGTTCGGTGCACTGAAATCACGACAGCAGCAGTGGGAGAAACTGGTGGACGAAGAGTTGGAGCGATACAAGAATCCGACGCCAGAACAACTCGAAACTTTGCAGCAGCTCCAAGACTGGCTTCTCGCTATCGCGAATGATCAGATTGCCTGCGTGGATGACGCTGCTGGAGATGTGCTAGATGATCCCACAGCCCAAAAGGGGTACCTGACGCGATTCAGAGAGGATTTCATCAAACTACCCACTCCCCCCTCCGCGAAATTTATGTCTACCAATGGAACTACAGAACTGGATGCCCTCCGAGATGGTTACGTAGACTTGGCCACTCACTGTATCAATCGGTTTGTTCAACTTATATTCAGAGTCGACTTCCGGACGATCTTGACAGAGCTATTCGTACCGGGGAAGTGGTATGAACAGTCCGCAATGCAGAGGATCACTACCACGTACGACGACTACATTGGAGACTACAGTTCCGTACTGCATCCGTCCTTGATCGATATTCTGATTGAAGAGCTATCAGACGCCCTCCTGGTGAGCTATCTAACATCAATCCGCACCAATCGCGGCGTAAAATTCAGACGGGGAGAACCTTTTGCGGCAAGATTCAGAGACGATGTACTTGCCGCTTTTGCCTTCTTTGAAAAATACCCTGAAAGCTTCAACGAAACAATCAAACCCAAGTGGAAAGCCGTGAATTATACCGTACAGCTGCTGGAAACCGACAAGAACGACGTTGTTAGAGTGTATGAGCAGTTCAAGCGCGAGTTCTGGGACCTTCAATTGAGTTGGGTAGAAGGGGTCTTGAAGACTCGCGACGATTGGGATCGTGGAATGATCACGGCAGTCAAACGAGCAGCGGCAAGCACATACGCAGAACGTGGTATGGATACAGTCATGGGCAAGGTTAAGTAATCCAAACATGTTGAAGTCATCCCAGCCTTTGCCTTTGGCTCCCTACACGAGTGATTCCGCCACTCGAAGCCTCAGCCGATGACGCGCCCTGACTTGGCCCTCCGAAAATGCCAATATCTCGGCTCGATAGATACGCTTTTCATCAGTTGCTCGTGCGGAAAACCCGAAGGAATATTGAAACCTGTTCGTCATCCCACACCGCCGAGTTGACGGATCTAAAACATGGACGCAATGCGGATGAGAGGCAAGGAAAGCCGAGGGAGATTTCACAAACGACACGATGTCGACGATTTTGACGATTCGGACGCAAAGATCAACAACACCAACAAAGACGCGAGATTGGCTCTACTTGTGGCAGCGCCGTCACTTTGAAGGGGCTGTTATTGAGTTAAGGTAACGGAAGTCGAGATGTTCATCTTTGATATGGAAGCTGATACCACGTGTATCAAACGTCGAAATCTAACTCGCTCCGTGCCCAACACCGCCCAGCTGTGTGGCTCATGCTTTTCTCTGAGCTTCTTGCAATATATTTTCCGTCCATGACCACCAGCGCCAACCCAGGTGGTCGGCATTTTGGAAGAACAGCCTTAGCTGGCTCGGCGGAGGTCTCGGCGTCTTGTGATTCCTCCTTGGCCCGCTCCTTGCCAGTCTCTGCATGATATGCCTTTTTAGATCTCGATACGTCCTGTCACTCATACTTCCTTGCTATCATGTCGAGAGCTGCTTGGATATGAGATGATTGTGCACATGGGTGTCTACCGCGGATGTAATTCGCTCGATGGAGACGTCCAAAACGACTCCTCTTGCGGTGCAGGTCACTGACGCATCCCAATCAGGCCCAAGAGCCCGAATATCTTACATTCATAAAGCAAGCATGTCATGGATCCTGGATCCTGGATCTGATATGATTATCCTGGTGCCACCATCAGCTAGCGACTTTGAAACGGTGGATAGCTCCAGCTTGAACCACAATCATGGTATTCCATGCCCTCAAAGAGTCATGGACACTGCTCACTCCCACAGAGAAGAGAAATGTCACCATTTACATTGCCGGTATAATATTGTACAAGTTTGGACTCGAAGCTTTCAACGGCTCAATCGTCGCCCTAGCCACCAACAAGTACGACTATGAAGCCTGGCTCACCGACAGCACCCCTAAGACCTTTGAGCGTGTTGGTTTGTTGACCGGGCTCAATCAAGCCTTCCAGCGCGTTGGTTCCATCTTGATTGCTCCTCTCATCAAACGTTGGCTTACCAAGCTCGTCCTTTCCTGCGCGATATTGGTGTTCAGCGTCATGACTGCCATTCTTCTCATCGTGGACGCTGGTACCGGAGGGCGCTTCAAGCCTGATAATTGGTCAGATAACCACGACGAAGACGACTTTGGGTACTACGGTAGCTACAATGCCAACGGTATCATCCCTATCTACTGCGTCAGTGGCATCGCCCATGGAATGGTTGAGTTGATCTGTCGTGTCATTCCTCGAGACATTGTTGGAGGCAATGTCCAGAATCTTCGACGCATGGACGCGCTCGTTCATATCTTCTATGAAATCTCCGGGACCGCCGGCGCCTTCTGCACAGCCTTGGCTTTGATCCCTTCCTTTGGCAACAACTACTCTTTCCTCATCACGCCTATCTTCTTCGCTGTAGCTTCCATTGTATGGTTCTTCATTTCTAATCTCAACTACCGGAAACCGTTGAAGGAAGGCGGCAACTACCTCCTGGCGGTCGGCATGGGCTTCTGGCTTTCTTTGAATCTATCTGGACTGGTTTCAAGATCATTTTCAGTTCTCCCAAATTCATCTGGCTTTTGCCAGGCTACTCCTTTGCCTTATATGGTCACCGATATCTCGAAAATGGTATTGCGCCCGCTGTGGCCCGACGGTATTTAGGGAACTCTGCTTGGTCGCAAATCATGGGTAAGTTTGTAGATCAGCCCCTTTCCTCTTTTCCCCTAGGAGCTTCCTCTTCCAGAGTCCACAGGCGTCTGTTACCCTGTTCTGCCAAACATTATTGTCCTTCTCTTATACTAACATTGAAAAGTCGGAGGTAGTAATTTTGGCGAGCTTCTTGGTGCCGGATTTGTCTTTCTCTTCACCAATCTCGTTCAAACTCCAATGCCATGGCTCCGACTCGACGCCCTGATGCTTCTCATCGTCTGGTATCTCCCTTACTGGTATCCCAAGAAGGGTGATGTGAACGAAGCCTGGCGTGTTGCTGGTACCTTCGTTCCCATCTCTTTCGGTTGGGCTGCCAGTGATGTTTCTCTTGCTGCTTACATCCAGGCCTCGCTTGCCCGCTTGGAGGCCGAAAACAAGGAAGTCTCAGCCTTGGGCGCTGTCATGGCCTTTCTCTATTCCACCTAGATTGTCATTTACGCCATCTGCTCTCCTCTTCTAGGTCGCTACATTGACCGTGTCTACGCGGAGAAAGGTGGTCCCGACGGCGGGAACATTCATCGAGCTATCAGGAATGTGGGCGGCGTGCAATTCACCGTGCTCATGGCCGTTGTGCTCGCCTCGACATTCATACCCAAGGGAGCCCTGTCTTTCAATCCCAAGATACTCAATGATGAGGTTCTTGATCATGACATTGATCATGATGCTGACGATGGATTTGTGGACGAAAAGAAGCGCAAGGCCAGCATTGTAGACAAAAAAAAATGGAGGAGCAGGCAGAGGGAAGACGTCAGAGTGTCACAAGAGTGTCTGCTGACATCAACGACACCTCGCCGGATATGAAGAACACGAGGGAGGAAGATGGAGGATTGATGAAGTCCTAGTGGTCTCCGATTTGGTTGCTTGTGGGGTGAGTGAAGGTGGTACACAATTGGCAACGGCTGATGCACAGGCACCAGATCTTGATACTCTCCTGATCATGTGCATCGTTGTTAGTTCAAGTAGCCGTTCATATATGATGGGTTATCTTTACTCATTGCGACTGTGCGAACACACAGGAGGTTTTGATGTTGACTGAAATACAATACGGTCTCTACAGAAGATATCAGCGGCAATTAATCTTGTTGCATATCCGGAGCGCAACATGGATCTCAGAAAACAAAATCATTCTACTTACTCATGGGAGTCACAGCGTGTTATATACGAGCGACAAGCTGCTGTGAGTCCAGTCTGGTGACGTCCGTATATTCTTCAGAATCTCCAAACCCCTATTCGGTTGATGCAATTGTGCAAGTCGATCGGGCACGGGACTATCTCATGCATTTGCATTTCCTTCCCTCCGTTAATTACCCTGTCATGATGCTCATATCTCTGGCTTTCCAGACTGTTTCTTCCAACCTGATACAGGCTCTCCGGGCCCAACCAGCCACTTTTCCCCATGCACTAGACACAGTTTACAAAGCAGAAAAGAAACGAAAACCGCGCGCTAAAGAGCCCGTATAGTTCCAGCCATAGTGCCCAAAGCGTTAATCACTGCATATATGTACTTGTTATGTACCCAGTACAGAGCATTTTAGGTTGTCGCAGAATGAGTAAGGCTGTGCCAAGACCCAGCGTTGCCAAGATTTCATACCTAATTTGGACTAGTTCACAGCACAACCCCAATTTTTGCTGCGGTTTTGGCTATTGAAGATTTGGGTCTTCCTTGAAATACCAGCAGTCAACTTGTCGTCTCTTCATAAACTCTTCATACCGCAAGTCAAGATGTCGAACCGCCCTACTGTCGGCATTATTGGCGGAGATGGCTCCAGCACTGGGGAGACCCATCCCTTACCAGCCGTCTTCAGCTCTCCAATCCGTCCTGATATTGTCCAGTATGATCCCGATACATCGCCTCCCCCCATTCCAAACGACGGTGAGCTAACAGTTAGACCAGGACCGTCCACACCGGAATGGCCAAGAACAAGAGACAACCATACGCCGTGAGCGAGAAAGCAGGCGAACAGACATCAGCCGAATCATGGGGCACAGGTGCGTTTGGGAACCTAATACCGTTGAATAAAAGAGATGTGCAACAGAATCTGACAAAGGACGGAAAATCCAGGTCGTGCTGTCGCACGTATCCCCCGTGTCTCTGGCGGCGGTACACACAGAGCAGGTCAAGCCGCGTTCGGCAACCAATGTCGATCCGGCCGCATGTTCGCACCAACCAAGGTCTGGAGAAAGTGGCATCAGAAGATCAACTTGGGCCAGAAGTATGAAAATGACACAAGTGGCTGCTTCTTGGGACAAATATATCTAACAGGGTTTTCTCTACAGGCGTTTCGCTACAGCGTCTGCCATTGCTGCCAGCTCTGTCCCGGCTCTTCTCCTCGCTCGAGGCCACCGCATCTCGACCGTCCCTGAAGTGCCCCTCGTCATCTCAAGCAAGATCTTTGAAGGCGCAGCCCTGGTCAAGACATCAGCTGCAGCTGCTCTCCTGAAGGCCGTGGGCGCTGGCCCGGATATCGTCAAGGTCCAGAAGTCCCGCAAACTGCGCGCCGGCAAGGGCAAGATGCGAAATCGTAGACACCGCATGCGCCGCGGTCCGCTCGTGGTGTACAACCCGGAGGTCGACGGCAAGGAGCTCGTGCGTGCATTCCGCAACATCCCCGGCGTCGAGACCTCGTCCGTCTTCGCGCTGAACCTCCTCCAACTCGCGCCCGGTGGCCACCTGGGCCGCTTCATCATCTGGACCTCCTCGGCCTTTGGGGCGTTGGACACCATCTACGGCTCGACGACCGAACCGTCGGCCCTGAAGAAGGACTTCCTGCTGCCCTCCAACGTCGTCTCCAACGCCGACATCACCCGCCTCATCAACAGCTCCGAGATCCAATCCGTGCTCCGCGAGCCTAAGGGCTACGCCACCACCAAGCGCACCGGCGTGCAGAAGAAGAACCCGCTGCGCAACAGACAGGTGCTGCTCCGCCTGAACCCGTACGCCGCGCAGTACTCCAAGGACAAGCTCGGGCAAAAGGGCGTAGAGCACGGCAAGCCGGAGCGTGTCAACGAGAAATTCCAAGAGGTGTTGCACGAGAACTAGGCCTGTCTTTATTTACGAGGGCAATGTGGTTTTTGAAATTGGGAACGAAGGAAGGTACGCTGGGGTTTGTTGTTCTTAGAACCACGCTGGACGAATGTGCGAAAGAGCTGGGCTGTGGTACCAAGGTGCCATCTATTATTCATGGTCGAGGCTGTTAATCCAGCGAGGCTCTGGGTCTATGGTCATGCATGTCCCCTCGATGGTGTTTCCCTTGTTCAAGCAGCAAACATGACGGTGAGAGAATTAAAGAAACAAGAAATCTTCCAACTACGATTTTCGTCTCTGTACTAGTCTGTTTATTGACTCGACCTCTGGCTTCTAGACGAGCAAAGGACTGGGTAAATTGGTGGACGTGCGACAGTCCGTCGTGACAACGTAGGCCTGGACGTATACATTGCAGCATTGGCTTCGTCATGGACATACCATTCAAGCCTTTCCGGAGACTCCCTATTCTCGCCTTCTCTAAGGTACTCCGTACGTTCCACCGAAATGCCGCATTCCATATCTCATCGTCTGCACTTCTAATGCCCTCTTCTAACATCAACCAGCTAGTTCCGTGTGGATGTCACATTGAGATCTGCGGCGGGTCAATGGACCAGAATCATTGAAATACGTCGCAGTGAATTCATAGCTTTTCAAATTCTACTGTGGCATCACTCTCACGACGAAGCCAAGCACTTCTGTGCCGCCTATTACCGCAACCGAGGGGCCACACGGGCGAGAGTGAGGCATTCGGCTGGGACAACAAGGGAGGGATTTTTGGGATCATGGTTTTCTTTGCACGATAATAGCTTGCAATTCTCGAATTGGCTGGGAATTTATTTCTATTTGGGCATCCACAGACTTCGTTGTTCTAGCGGTCGTCAGCCGCAGCGACAGGAAAGCAGGATTAGGGGTCGTTGAATCGGCTAAGGGGGGCCACCAGTGCCAACTTTTCCACGCGTGAAGGTCGACACTGCAAGAACAGAAGGAGGGGGCGATCCTGAGAACCCGGTTCGACGAGGATCCCCATCTCGCCCCATCCGATTGCAACATCACGGTTTCAATTCCAGTCTAGGTATTTGTCCAGTAGCCTAGAGGGCCCAAGTTTTGGGGTGGTTCAGGCATTTCATACTTGCTATTTGCCATGCATTCGGGAGCGCTTTGTAAATCAAGAATGGAGGCCCTTGGGACGTTTCGGCTGATCCATGAGGTTTCCAGCTGGGAAAAGGTTTCCGTGGCCCAATAGTACGAAGAGCTTGTGTAAAGCCCGAAGGAGGCGAGCCCCATACGAGGTAGAGGCGGGTTAGCCCGTCCATATCTCCGCAGATCAAGGCAGACAGATCACAACTTTCCTGCTTTCTATGCAGAATTCGGGTCAAGTCTGGTGGAGGGCGGACCTATAGAGAGCAACCATTTGGTACCCTAAGCTCTGGGAATGAGGCGTGGCCGATGTGGTCCCCTTGAGTAGGTAGATAGAATAGCGGACGAAGATATCGAAAGGACAAAAATCCCTGTTCCATATGCCCGTTGTAGATCACTGCAAGGGTCCCGACCTAGTGAGCACCAAGGCAAAGATGCTGAGAGATGCCACGTTGTGTAGCCGGAACCCACCGAATCATAATCATGACCAGAGATGTGGCATAGCTGGCGAGGTATATCTTGCGTGGAATTAATAAACTGCAGACTCGCGGCATCAAAGAGCTTTGTGCCAGACTGGGCTTCTGAACTATGCTGGAGTGAAATCGCAGGAAGGGAAAAAACGGAATTGACAGAGGGCAAAGGGAGGGGACGAAAATGACCGTTGGAGATTACAGGGAGACGGTGCGTCCAGTGGATCTGGCATGCTGGGCATGCTGGGTAGCAAAGTTTCTCCGCAAACCTTGCGCTGCCGAACAACATGATCTTCCAGACTCCCACTGATAGGCACGGGCCACAGATTCGAGGATATCTGGGTGATGCCCACTCACTAACACACTTAGCTTTGGAGTATCGGGGGAGGAACCATTGCGACTCAGTCTCCCATTGGCGTCCAAGTGCGCCAAAAGGACTCCCATTGCAAAGCACTCTCTGTTCCAGCTCCAGAAATATGATTGCAACCCGACCACCGTCAAGACTTTTTCATATGTTGAAACACCATCCTACTCCAAAGCGACAACCAAATTCACCCCCGTGAAAGGAGGGATTCCAAAGGTGCCATTTCTCCATAGAGTCGATCTTGGACCCTCTTGTAAACCCGGGGCATCGAGCTAAGAGACGTTCGGCGAGGAAACGGATGAAGTGGATGCTGGGAACGATCGTTGACAAGACAGGATTCAATGCTTTACTTACCTTTGTACCTAGGACAGAAGCATGCCAGTGTCGAGGAGCCAGTCAGTGTCAGAGAGGTGCTCGCAAGGATGGTCACTGTCCCGAGTACGGGACCAGTCAGTGAGCAAATGATCTAGCATTTACTCTGGACTCAGTACATGGTGTAGAAGTGTAACTGAAAGCGTTCCACCATGAATTTGTTTGGGTGTATCAAGGCTTCGCAAGTCCACAGTGACGGGGAACCATATGTACCAAGCAGGAGCGTAGACCATTCCTCCTCCGTGCCTGTCAGAAGAACATTGAAGAGCTGGGTCCTTGTGGTTCCCCTGGTCCCCTTCGCGCAGCGGCCTGAGCGGCGTAACAAAATGACTGCAGCATTTCACTTGTGACTAGAGGGCCTAATTCTTGCTCATTCCAATCTCTCCATTGAATGACATCATGGGCGAGATGTGTCTATGCTATCCCCTTTCTG